AGTCTGTGTTACAAGGAAATGCACCACAAGAAGTTAGGCTAGTCGAATATTTAAGCATAGTATGATGATAGGCCCTGAAATGGCTGGTATGTAGGACCGTCCTTGAGTAGGTTAGACATTGATTGACTTCTCAACTGAAATGTCTGGAACAATGGGCGGACTTTAGCGGTGTAATTGAACTCGCCTATAGCTGCAGTTCAGTTGTAAGGGAAGTGGGCATCAATTTCACACCATTACTTGGCAGTTATCTTTAATCCGAAATGAGGTCAGCGTTACAGGAACTATAGCTGCCAAACATCAGTAGCCTTTTATAAGTGTGTGTATTCTAAATGGTTTTATATAATTAGTGAAAAAAAACTACTGATGAAGCAGTTCAGACCTCAAAGAGATATTAGGTGTCCCTATAGTCCTGAAAGTTTTTGAAAAACAAATTCAGAACTTTGTTTCTCTGGGGAAATGTAAAATGGTCTGTCAATCCATGTAAGTTTTTGTGACTTCCTCAGTAAGGGAGGAATTTAGTGTGTTTAAGTAGTTTAAATGATCTTTTGAAGGCTAAACGCCATCTTAAACAATTTGAACATAAATTGAGTTGGCTAGGGACACGTGTTGCGCATGCCGAGCAGTGTTAGCTGATATAGGAGGTTGGATTGGAAAAGAATAAGGTGTGGTCAGACTGAAATTTAGAATCAGTCCATGACATCTTTGACGGTTGGTTTATTCAGCCATCTGAGTGTGTGTAGGTTGTCCGGTTGGGGTCCTCGAGACGCTGAGAAACACTGGCTGTTGACTATCGGTGATACAGTCCAAAATAACTCTGAATAGTGCAGATGCATTCAGTCTGTGTGTTCTGTCGTTTCAGTGTGGCCCTGATGTTATGTAGACTTTCTTTTCTGTACGTTGGTGTGCTATATAGTCGGACAACTTGAAGTAATATACTTCTGTGCCAGTCAGTCAGTCCGTTTAGAAAATGTATGCCGTAAGCATTCCTACCCTAACACAGCAGTGGTTCCTACACAATTCAAACTAACCCTGGCATAATTGATTCTTGTATTATATATCAGAGTGTTTCACTGTTTGCTGTGAAACATTCATCATTGCTGTTGTTTAAAGCTTCGATTAGGATTTCTTAAATAACCATCAGTAAAGACATTAAAAAACCTGGCATGTTATTCAGCTGGGATTGTCATAAGGGTGCTTAGGTCTTATGGTTAAATTGAAATGTTACAATCATATAGAGCATTCCTCGACTTTGCATTCCACGGATACATCAATGTGGAAAAACTCAGAATAGTCCAAGATGATGTATAAAAATAGAGGGAGATTTTTCCTAGACCATTGAAAATTGGTAAAGGTTGAAAATATCATGACAGCCACTAGATTGTTCTACTTCTTTATATAGCCTAGATCTCAGTAGTCTATGATTTCGTTTCTTAATTTTTCCACCTATACACTATGTCTAAGATTTTTAAAGTTTCACATCTTTGTTTTTGGACTTATATTGGCTTGGAACATGGTTACATGCGTCGGTGGTTTAGCGATAGAATGCCCGGGAATTACACCTCTAGTGGTTCGCGGTTCAGTTGCCGGTTGAATCACTCCCATACCTCACCTAGGCGGCAGTAAGCCCAGTGAAGACGGAAAGTTGGTCGTTCCCATGTATAACAGACACTACTACAACTGAAAATTCAAAGCATTAAACCTGAAGCCGTGTGTTCCCCTCGGAAGGCAAGGGATGATAAACAAAACATGAGTGCAGTGTGCCTCCCTCATTTACTAATAAAACATGAAAAGTAATTCTTATGCAAAGCAATAGGGGAAAGAAAAGACGAAGTCCACTAGAATTGTGTTCTTTCTTAATAACTTCGTGCGTGAGTCATTCCAAAAGCCATCCTCAGTGTGCAAAAACAGTGTAGTAAGGCTTTCTACTGCCTATTTTAAATACAGCATGTAAAATTGTAGGGAGTCGAGAGATATATCGAACAGTTTTTTTTGCGTGTAAAATTAATAAGACCCTAAGGTTTGTATTTATACGTGTATCTTGCATCAAAATAAGCTATGCATACTTCATAATTCCAATCTCTGTCACTCCGAATTAAGTCAGATATTTCTAAAGAGTACATGTCCTCTCTGAGTTGTTTTGTTGATAAGGAGCTAATTTATTAATAATATTGTAGTTTCTTTGTGACACGTGCCATCAAAAATGTCCGACTACCGATCCGTAGCACCCTAAGAACCTTAAGCCGTGATAGTAGCCTTTAGTTCCTCATAGTGCTTTATTCTCGCTTCTTCAGGATCACTGGCAGTTGTAATTACAAAAATTTTCAAACTATGCGAAAATTTCAAATCGAATTATTTCATCCTTAAAAGTATCCCTAGTTAATAGAGCTTCTTGGTATTATTATTATTATTATTATTATTATTATTATTATGGCATTTCACCTTTAGCTACCAGCAGAATTTACTGCAAGCCTCAATGGAAAAATATTAACCTTCTAGAGTGTAATTGTACATCGGTGGTTCAGTTTTGTTTGACTGCTCATCGGCCACGAACATAGTCCCGGGTTCAATTCCTGACTGACACACTCGTAAACTTCACTTAGCCAGTGGTAATAAGTCTAGTAAAGAGGGAAAGTTGGCAGTGATGCCAGCGACTTCACTCCCACGCGACAAAAACCATCGATACTGAAAAACCAAAGGACAAGCTTGAAGCAATGTGGTCCACTCGGCACGCAAAGGTATGAATATAAAGTTTACTTATACAAGAAGAACAAGAATATAATACAGGGTGAAACTGTCTATCCTCTAGTCAACAGTTGAATTCTTCATGAGGGGATAAAATTCGCATTTGAATCGGAAAATGATAAGGAGAATTAGCTATGAGGTTAGGTTGTAAAATAAAACGGAAAGAAGAAGGTAAACTGCACACCAGTGTTTATAAAAACAAAGTGATATGTATCCACATATATATATATTTATGTGTGTGTGTGCATGTTGGTCTCTCTTTCTGTTTGCTCGGTTAGTCTGTGACCACTTCACTTGTATGGACTTGTCTCCTTTAATAATGTGTATTCTCCTTATATTATATTATATATAATATGAGTGTTTGTTGACAGTCCGTTGCTTGGTGACATATATCCATATATGTTTGTTGACATGTCTGCTATATTCGCTATGTATAATTGGATCGACACTCCATTATAATTAGCCATTCATGTTAAGACTGTCTAATGATTTTTCCCACGCTTGTCTGAATTATTTATATTCGCATTCACAATTTGTGTGAACTACTTTACTTTACAACTACTTTACTTACTTACCACTTTGGTGTGAGACCATTTATTTTCGTCTCCTTGTGTTTGGACAATAGAAGTATCATCGCAAACCTAGTGGTCTTCTGATTTCCGCCCTCTCGCGTCAGGACTATTAGTTTCTCGACCAGACCATAACAATAATTCAGCGACGAGTACATAACAATTTGGCGACGGGGAAACTAGTACATAACACAAAGCCAACGTATTTTGCTAATAGATATTTAGACTTTAATTCATCTCATCCGTTAACTGTTAAGGCAGGCTTAGTTAAGTGTTTAACAAACCGAGCAGTGGCATTAAGTAGCACAAAAAAGACCTAAATGATGAAATAAAACAGGTAGAAGGGGCGTTGGTTTCAAATAACTATCCTATGAAATTCATTAGGAAGATCGGAAAAGGCCAAAAGCAAAATAAAAATAATTCTGAAGCTAGTAATGATAACATAAGAGAAAATATAAGGCATTTACTATTATTATTATTATTATTATATAAAGCAGGAATTAGGGTGGTGGCGTTTAAACCTACAAGCTCTGTAGTTTAAAGGACCCTGTCGGTTGACCCAATTAGACAAAATAATATAAATTACAAAGTACCTTGCAGTGACTGTAAGTGAGGTCAACCACATAATTCAGACTAGTAGATGGGGGACGGGGGGTAGTCAGATTGTCGAAACGTAAGAATTTAGCTAAGGCAAGAATGGTTGACCTCGAGAAGATAAGTAATTCAGATAAAAGCTCAGCAATTGCACTGCATGCATTAATGCACAACCACACTGTCTGTCTCTGTCTGTCTGGATTCAACATAGAACTTGGCACCAAAGTGCACCAGTTCGAGTTGCCACCTTCCAAATAGCACACAGAGGTAGACAACAAGATGAGTGAAGAGAATCAATAGAGTTTGACAAGTATAAGAGTGAAACAGAATGGGTAATGGTAGAAAGGAATATGAAAGATTACAGAGACTGAATACATCTCCGCTAGCCATTGACAACGATTTTGAGCCATGTCACCTATTATGTCCAGCCATTGATTCCTAGAGTCCCGAGGGTCCCAACCTGGAAGTCTGCATCTCCCTACCTGACTCAGTTTAACTGTCAAGGATATCATGGATTGATGACATCCATGTTTTTGTTTGGCCACCACTTACTCTTTTCCAACCTGCACCTATATCAGTTAGTAATGCTCGTCGGGTGAGGCGATGGTTAGGCATGCGCAGCACAACCACACAATAGCATGGTGAGATAGGGTTAAAATTCTAACAAGTAATTCTAGGTAGGTGAGGAGCGAGAGAGGTTGATTACTGAATCTTTGTTCATCGAGTCTGCACTCACAACATGTAACTCATCACTCAAACCGGAAATATGGAGAATACCAATCAAATCAAGCGATGAAAAATAATGGATTTATGTAAACGAAGTTAGAAAGTTGTTTGAGTAGTGTCTTGTGATATGATTATGACCGGTAATGCATTGTACTCGAGACGTGTGGTCATCAGTGTAAATATTACTTACTATATAACACTGTGAGACTTTATCAAAACAAATTTCACCTCCCAATGGAATTCTTCATGAGCTCCCCGTAATCTTTCTTCTATCTCATAAGTTATTGTTGCATATCATCTATTTTAGAATTTTTATTATTTTTTTTTAATATTTGAAAGAAAACCTCACGTCTTTTGTTTAATTTCTAGATTATGAATGCCTCATTGAGAGCACTATCTCAACAGAGTGTTAGTGAAAGATTCAATGTCAAGGAAAATCTGAATGGTAGTGTCCCTGTCATTTTTTTCAATAATCTTTTCTTTTACCCCCTTCGAATTTAGTCTTAATGCAAATATCATTACAGTTGACAAATGATTCAAATTTGTTGCAAAGCCAAAGTCAACAAAATCCTTCTAATGAAAATCTTCATGAATTATTTCTAACACTGATTGATTACATTGGTTATTTAAAGTCTGTTGAATGTATTGCAGTCGACGAATTGCTTCAAGTCACTTCACCGCTTGTTAAATTGTTCAAATTATTTCATGAACAGGAGCATTTTGCATTATGCTGGAAATCTGGTCTAGATTTAAACAGTCTACTTGAACAACTTTACAAATTATGGGAACGTGTTCAATGTTACAAAACTGCAAAGTCTGTTGTCAATAATAATAATATCATTTGTTGCGTTCGAGAGATCAATGAAGTTTTAAATAATATTTCTCAGTTATTTGGCTTCGTACTTTTAGGTTAGTAGTGGATTTTTTTTGATTAAAGTTTTTCTTATAATATTTACTTTGTTACTTTATATGGTGACAACAGAAGATAATGGCCATGAAAGAGATCGTTTATTTGCGAAATCAACGCAAATCTCTAGATTTCCATGTACACTATTATAGATTGGTGAATTCTCACTGAACGTTAATCTTTCATCTCTTTGTGACCGTTTAATTGAAGTTCAGATTATCTATCTGCAAATTGTATCCGCCTACGCAAAGTTTGATGTGATCGGTTGTTAAGTCAGTCTTTGTTCTTGTTCATTTCTCATGACAAATGTTGGGGCACGTAAACATTGACGTAAATTAGTGTCTACCAATTTTTGGCTAGCAGCCAGCTCTCACCACAGTATGAATACTACTACTAATAATAATATATCGCCGGTTCTGGATATGCAGCTGTGGGCCTTGACTTCCAACCGGTGAGAAACGAGTTCGAATCCCCCTGCACATACCGAAGTAGTCGGTAGGCAGATACTATTTGTAGCCGTCATACACAGTAGGTGTGTCTCAGAGCAAGTTGTGCATGAAATTGCAAGTGGTTGTTCAAATACATTCACACTTAACAGTACTCATTATTATTCTCCGTTTTTCCAGGCGGAACATAGGTCTTCAGCAGCACATTTCCATTTCATCCTGTTCTATGCAGTTCTTTTTAACTAGCTCCACAATTGTTCATAAGCTTTCATCTCTTCCTGACAGGATCTCCACGTCACCCTAGAACCTCAACTTGTTACCAGGGAACAGTCTTATGGACTTAGAATATGCAGATGACATAGTCCTGTTAAGGGAGGATGCTGACAAAATGCAGAGTCTTCTGAACACCTTGAGCTGCAATCTTCGTATGTTTGGCATGGGATTGGCCCCTACAAAATGTAAGATGCTGCTACAGGACTGGACTATATCAACTCCTAACTTAGTGATAGGGAGTGAAGTGATAGAACATGTTGACCACTTCACCTATTTGTGAAGTTGTATTAGCACCAACGGACTGATTGGCGATGAAATCTCAGCACGGATCCGAAAAGCTCGAGCTGCTTTCGCTGACTTACACCATCTCTGGCGTAGGCGTGACATCCGGTTATCAACCAAGGGACGTGTGTACTGCTCAGCAGTTCGCTCCGTCCTTCTCTATGGCTCTGAAACATGGCCAATACGCGTTGAAGACATGAAAAGGTTAACTGCTTTCGATCATAGATGTCTGCGATCTCTGTCTCACGTTAGGTGGTGTAATAAGGTAAGTAATGTTGACGTTAGGCGTAGAGTGTTGGGCGAAGAGGGAAAATCAATCGACGAGGCTAAAGAGTTACATAGATTGAGATGGCTAGGTCACGGTGCTGCGCATGCCTAACCATCGCCTCCCCCGACGAGCATTACTAGCTGATATAGGTGCAGGTTGGAAAAGAGTAAGTGGTGGCCAAACAAAAACATCTGTCTGTCTGGATTCAACATAGAACTTGGCACCGAAGTGCACCAGTTCGAGTTGCCACGTTCCAAATAGCACACAGAGGTAGACAAGAAGATGACTGGAGAGAATTAATAGAGTTTGACAAATATAGGAGTGAAACAGAATGGGTAATGGTAGAAAGGAATATGAAAGATTACAGAGACTGAATACATCTCCGCTAGCCATTGACAACGATTTTGAGCCATGTCACCTATTGTCTCCAGCCATTGATTCCTAGAGTCCCGAGGGCCCCAACCCGGGAGTCTGTATCTCCCTACCTGACTCAGTTTAACTGTCAAGGATTTCATGGATTGATGACATCCATGTTTTTGTTTGGCCACCACTGGCTCTTTTCCAACCTGAACCTATATCAGCTAGTAATGCCCGTCGGGTGAGGCGGTGGTTAGGCATGCGCACCACGTGACCTAGCCATCTTAGTCTATGTAACTTTATAACCTCGTCGATTGATTTTCCCTCTTTGCCCAACACTCTACGCCTAACGTCAACATTACTTATCTTGTGAAACCACCTAACGTGAGACAGAGATCGCAGACATCTATGATCGAAAGCAGTCAACCTTTTCATGTCTTCAACGCGTATTGGCCATGTTTCAGAGCCATAGAGAAGGACGGATGTCATCAATCCATGAAATCCTTGACAGTTAAACTGAGTCAGTTAGGAAGATGCAGACTTTCGGGTTGGGGCCCTCGGGACTCTAAGAATCAATGGCTGGAGACAATAGGTGATATGGCTCAAAATCGTTGTCAATGGCCAGCGGAGATGTATTCAGTCTCTGTAATCTTTCATATTCCTTTCTACCATTACCCATTCTGTTTCACTCTTATACTTGTCAAACTCTATTGATTCTCTTCACTCATCTTGTTGTCTACCTCTGTGTGCTATTTGGAAGGTGGCAACTCGAACTGGTGCACTTTGGTGCCAAGTTCTATGTTGAATCCAGACAGACAGACAGACCCTAGAACCGATGCACAACTTGTCGTTCTGCCTGTCGTGTGATGTCACTCAACGGTTTCCTAGGAATGTGCCTTTTCCATCTCCGTTTCCTTTGGCATACTTGTTGGACGAAATAGGTTCTCGGTTGCCTGACTCACTTTCTTGTTGCTAATCTTTCCTGGCCATCTGAACTTAGGTGTGAAGAGGGGAGGGGTCATCTGATGATAAAAGTTCGAAGCCTGCCTGTTGCGGATGCTTTTTGTGACCAATCGTGTTTTGAACCAAATAGAACAACTGATTTGATACTAATATATGTGTAAAATTTGGGCACTGTGGTAGTAAGTAATTCCATATTAGTTTGCTTATTAGGTGTATCACACAGTGAAACAGTATTATTTACTGGATGACATGGTTTCAAACAAAATTTATTGTGGTTCATAATCATATCATCAATTGTAATCACAAGATTTCGAAACTTGAGTTTTATAGTTTTCTTTGTTCTCTCCTATTTGCCGTCGCTAATGTAGTGGAACTTTCCAGATATCCAGGTGGACAGGTGTTAAATCATTCCTATCACATCTATTTGCAGTTGAATCTAAATCATCAGTAGTAATTCCATACAAGAAAGAAACCTCAGAAACCACCTTACACAGAATTCTTAACAATGTAGGCAGAGATAAAAGTGACTGGCATTCAAACCAACCACAAACTCAATTAGAAACAAGCTTTGTCGGTTAAAAGATCAGTTCTGTGGAGCCTTTAAAACAAAACAATTTAGTTTATCTTATACCCTGCCTGAAATGATTGTCAGGTCAAATACATAGGTCAAAGTTTAGAACAGGGGCAGTCAGACTAGCCGAATATAAAAACATAGCAGCAAAATCTAGATTGGTTGACCCAAATAAGATAAGAAATCTAGAGAATAGTTCAGCTATAACACTCACCACATGCAATTACACACAACCATACAATAGGCTGGATGGGATAGGATGAGAGTTTTAAAATCTAATGTCACACGGTGAATGGAGGGAGAGATTGATGACAGCAGAAATTTGTTTATCGAATCAACTGCAAATACGAGTAATAGGAATGATTCAATGCCTGTTCACCCAGATAACTGGAAAATTCTACTACCCCTACGACGACAAATAGGAGAGAACAAGGAGAACTATAAAACTCAAGTTTCGAAGTCGTGTGATTATAACTGATGAGATGATTATGAACAGTAATAAAGTTTGTTCGAAACCTGGTCATCCAGTAAACACTAATACTGTTTCACTGACTGTGTGATACACCTAATAAACAAACTAATATGGAATGATTTGATATTAGTGGTGAAAATCCAAATCTTATTCTTTGAGCTGACTGCAACAGCAGATACCTATACTGGCTACAGAGTAATGGAGGTCTGTTTTGCTTTACCGTTCCTGCCTTTGACATCCTCATCTCTCCCACCGCCTGTACTTGAAACGATACTCCGTAGTTAAGTGGAAAAGTTCAAGTTCCCCCCCTGTTAGTATTGATTGGTAAATATCTTCATCACCTCTGTCTTTTCTGTGTTCACTTAAAGTCTTGTCTTCTCTGCCAGCCTCTTCTGCCAACTTGTTGGTTTTTGCCTGTGTAGATCTTCGACTTTGAGTGACATTAGGCATGAGTCATCCGTGAAATCCGTATCTTCGAAAGTTTTTCTTCAACAGTGATTCTTATAGGGATTTTTCCTAATCCATCTATATATCTACATTCATAGTGTTGATCCTTATTATCTTACCTGTTTAAACACGGACTGAATTATGTGTATCACCAGTTGAATTTGGTGGCTGAATAATGAAAAGTTAAGTTTACGCGGCAAAGTTAAACTTTAAGCACCACTAACTACCAATCAGCGAACGACCTTCGACAGACCAATCAGATGAAGGAGGGACTATTGATAAAGGAAAACGTATATTTATGGAAAAAAGCATAAAAGCTGCATACAACTGTTACATAGGGTATCTTTCTCTAACATGTGACAGAAACACCTTCCAGTTTAGCATAGGAGTGTCAACAGAAAATTCACACCACATTCTGTAAATATACTCATCTAAATGACCATAAATGAGATCCATTTATAGCCATAATCCTATTTTCCAATCTTCCTCAAAATCCTTCTATAGAATTTGTGTGTCCCCGTAATAGGATCGACAAAATCACTGGAATGGTTCACTCTGTGATGAATATATCCAAGAGATGACAGCGAGTTATGACCTTTCCATTCATCAGTATGTACTATGGATCCCTGTTTCACGAGTCTAGTAATAATAGGTATTAAAGTAGTTGACTTTCTATCTGGTATTCTCTCCACGAATCCTTTCCGTAGGGAGGTGTCATATGAAGCAATCACCCAAACATTGTTGGCTCGTTCACGACCAGGGTTGTATTTTTTCTTCAGCAACACAGTTTCGTCCACGTGCATGACGATGCCTTCTCCGCCCAACAAGGAAGTAATTCTCTCCATTTTCCATGATGCGATGCCTCTGAAGTCCTGGTACCACTGAATTGTTGGGACGAGGCTATTTTTGGTTTCAGCAGGTGCACCTCTCACAGGCTGTTTTACAACCAAGTAGTTACAAATGTACAAAATCTGGGTTAGGGAGAGATGCGTTCTAGCAAAAAATGTTCCCACGAAATATTAAAATCATCAGCTTACCTTCCTTAATACTAACTCGTCTCAAAAAAATTGCACAACGATGGACACATCCATCAATCGACCTGCTAAAGCTTTTTAAACTCATGACACCACCACACGAACAAATCCTCTCTTTCCTAAGCAACCCCAAATCCGGGTGATACTGCGAAACCGTATCCTCCTCAAACTGCAAGCGTAACTTCGTTAGAGTAGGGATTTGATACGAATCAAGCGCTATACAACCTTGAACTCATGTGCATGAACCTCATTCGACCATTCAAGGTCGTTCGCTGATCGGTAGTTAGTTAGTGGTGCTTAAAGTGTAACTTGACCGTTTACGGCAATTAATAAGTCATTTCTGCACGCTCATACTGAAAGATACTAGAAGGCAAATAAACAAATAACCATGCTACCGTACAAGCACGTTCATGTTTTTATGAAACTGCCAAAGAACCACATCTGTTGTACGGAAGTTGGATGTTACTAATTATCCATTCACAGCTTACTGTACCTACAGGGTTGTTTCTAACCTGTGGTTCAATTGTTGCAAGTCAATTACGTATACAAAATAAGCCGTAGGTAGCTCTAATTAATTAGTTGACAGTTGAGTCATATTTACCATTTGCACAGTTCGATGAAGTGAAATTTTACCACAGTTTCCCTTTGGAAACTGAAATTATTCGAGCGATTATATACCGTATCCCTTTTGTGAAGTGACGCCACCTGTTCCCCAGTGGGTATGGTAGTTTTTCAATGAATAAGCCAAACATACTAGCAGGATTTCATGAAAATCCAAAAAATATACGTTCCATTTTTGAACGAACTGCATCCTTTAGTCCATTTCATTGCGCAGATATCAGTATCAAGCAACATTTCCCGATTATATTGCAGCAAATGTAGCACAGTTCTAGCATATAATGCCGCCGATGTTATTTACCACAGAAAAGACTTCTTAATGCGAAATTATATTTGAACAGCATGTAAAACATATAACTTGTCACTAAACCACCCTAGCAACCGACTACGACTCTACAGTTAGCGGGGATATACAATAATTTAGCCACTCCTAAACATCACACAGCCGTTCCTGTTGTTTGGAGCAGAACTCATCAGCGATGTTAGTTCATATCAGTCGAATTCTTGCTAGCTAACTGGGCTAACAGGTAACAAGTTAAACCAAATTCTCAATTTGTAAATTACATAACTTACACACTACTCATTTAACAATCAATTAGTAGTATATATCCAGAAATTAAAAGAGAGCTAAAGAGTATCAAATAACTTTGAGTAGACTTTCTGCCTTGAATTTTTAGTGCTCTTATTATTATTATATCCTTTAATTCCTTGAGGAACATAGGGCTTCAGCCGCGCGTCTCCATTGCGTTCGATTATCTGCCAACTTTTTCACCCCGCTCCAAGTCTGCCCACATGCTTTCATCTCCTCTTCACATGACCTCCTCCAAGTCACCCTTACACTGACGACCAACTCGCCGCTTCCCATTCGGTCGGGTTCCACTCGAGTGATGGCTTGTCTAGTGATGTCACTTGATGGTTTGTTTTCTCAGAGTATGGCCAATCCAGCTCCATTTCTTCTTGCCTATTTGTTTCACAATCGGTTCTTGGTTGGTTCACCCATCTGGTAACACCCATGTAGCCTTGTGGATATCTTTGTGTTTGTATACGCTGCCACCAATCACTAGTTCGTTGAAGGCGCAGAAGTCGGCGAAGAGTTCTCCATTTTCATTCATTTCTCCGAGAGCTTCTCTACTCATGGTGAGTTCCTTTCCTGTGTTGTCTGGGCCCAGTTTGGCATTCATGTCTCCCATTAGTATTTTACTGTCACCAGCTGGAGTATTGTCCATGGTTGCCTGTAGTTGTCTGTAGAATTCTTCTTTCTTTTCGAGGTCTGCGTTGTTTGTGGGTGCATAGCATTGTATAATTGACACTATCCTTCCTTTGGAGTTGAATCTGGCGGTCATTATCCTGGACGAGATCTCCTCCCATTGCATCAGGACCTTCGTTGCCTTTGGTGACATCGTGATAGCCACGCCTTCGGTGTGCGTGTGGTTATCTTCTGGGTGACTGGAGTAGATCACTGACTCACCTGTTGACAATTTGGTGAGTCCATTCCCGTTCCATCTGCTTTCGCATATTCCCAGTACTTGAATTCCGTATCTTTCATCTCGTTTGCGATCTGGGAAGCTTTACCAATCTCGTACATGGTGCGGACGTTCCATGTTCCCAAACACAGACTTTTTCTTTTGGCGCGAGGAGATTCATCGTGCTGAAGTTTCTGTTGCAACTTTGTTTACTGGGTGGGGTACTCTAGGACTACTCAACCGAAGTGTTCTGTCGTAACAAACAAGAATTGCCAGGTATCTTAACGAACGCGTCACTTACTCAATCAGCATATTACGGAATCTATAATCACTAGTTTCTATTAATAACACCTTTGTTAGTCATGTTATATGCTACTGACTGATTGAAATGAGTAGTGTGTAAATTATGTAAATTCAGAATTTGATTTGATTTGACCTATTGCTACTTCTCCCGAGTAGCTAACTATATTTCGACTAGTTCGAACTGATTTGGCCCTTTCAACTGAGTCAAACCGAGTACATCGCTGATGAGCTGGGCTCCAAACAAGTGAAACGTCCGCCCAGGGATTTTTTTTACCCAAGTGTTGGTTTGTAAGGATTTGATTGATTGGTTACAGGATTTCATCATGAGCTGACATTAGTTAGATAACCATTGGAAAACCTCCAGAGACAACTGGACAGCTGTTTCGTCAGCCTAGTTGGGGACTCTTCATCAGTACACACCCACCGACGGGGTTTGAGCCCAGGACCTTCTGGTTAAAATGCTAGCGAGCTCGTAGAGCATTAAGCCACTGTGATCCAATCCAACGGCCAGCCCATGAGTTCTAACTTCTGCCAATTCACGACATAGCGCGACCCCTAACCAGTGTCTTCGGGGAGTATTTGTCCTCTCATCCGTCCCTACAAACCAACACTTGAATATCAATGGGATGCTCACTGGCGACTTGCCCTATTCAGGTAGGTAGTTACTTGGGGTTCTAGTGAGAAGTCGTGACCAGTAGGGTGCCACAGGTCAGGTTTTCCAATGATTCTCTTACTAATGTCAGCTCACGATGAAATTTTTTTTCTAGAAATATTTACTTTTCAATTAGATCCTCATCTCTCACTTTACTCTAATAAGTGTCTAAATGGCGATTTTTTCTATATTTTAATAAATGAAGGTTATGTAAAAAATGTCAACAGTCAGTTTCATTTTGATTGGTTAGTCAGATAATTCTCACTACTGAATACACCGTATTTACTGGAGGAAGGAGCAGTACGGCCCACAGAAACGCCCGAAATTTAGTTTTATCTTTATCGTGGTGGCTATTGTTTTCTTTATGATCTACTTCTTGTTTCCACTTTTTTAATGCATTTAGGTAACTTGGATAATGTTCAAAGTGATTTACTCCGAACTATTGGTCAATCTCTTTCAAGTGAAATTAACAGCAGAAATGTAACAGTCGACGGAAATGTAACTGAATCTTATCATATCTATTCTACAATGTCACATTTGGTATTTCTACATCCTATATGCAGTCAATTAAACCTGCAGAGAGCTTATAAACGTCTTGATAATGTTTTCAGTCAATACCTTTTAAAATCGTTTCAACAAGCCTTCTTAGCGGCTTTGAAATATGTTAAACAACCATTGAAGCCTGTCGGCAAAGATGGTGAAGACTATGTAGACGTGAGTGATTTTTTTTATTTTATTTTAATTTTTTTAACTACTCATGAGTATTGAATTGAATTTTTGATTTTCCCGTCGATTGATTGGACCGAAGTGCTCGGTCTCAGGCTGACATGTCGGCTTCTTGTGCAGATGCTTCGATGATGTTTGGGCATTTAATTAGTATACAATTGGTGGATGGATTCCACTGCTAGCCACTATCCACCAATTGTATACTCATGAGTAGTTTAAAACATACTTTTCGTTAATGGGTTGATAAATGGCTGTTGCGTTCTTTTTCACTGTGGATACATTTAACAATAAAATTTCCTAATGTTGGTGCGCAGGCATCTGATTGACGTCAGGATACATCACGAGATGATTCCAGTAAGAGAACCATTGAAAACAAAAGGGTACTGGACATGTGTTTCGTTCTTATTTGAGATACTTCGGTAGTACTCACGCCTGACCACACCAGTGGTTATGGTTACTATTTTAGAAATGTTTTTGCACTTGTAATCCCAACTCTTAAATATTCGCTTAAGTTGGTTTATTAGTTGCTTATGAAGGTGCACCTCCGACACTTCATCAAACCCACCCTTTTTCTCTAATTCCTGTGCATTCCAGGCGGAACATGGAGAGCTTTCAAGCCTGAGCTTTAATGTTTCAGCACTGGTGGGTGGGATTTCTAGCCTCACACTCAATCTCTCCCCCCTGTTCTAAACTTACTAGTGGCTAAGCAATATGTAGGAGTGAGTCGGCCTGGAACATGTGTGGTGTTGGCGAGTATTCCATCAGCGAACTACCAACTGCTAACTTTTTAAGATGATAATGTTAGATAATGTAACGGTGGACACATTTGGCGCTGTCGAAAATTCGGAGGGTGATTACTATTGACTAGCCTACAGAAAACCAGATAGTTAACCTAGAGTAGACGAACTCTATAGTCCTTTTAGGTCGGTGGCACAGTGGTTAGGACTCTCGCCGACCATGCACATGGTCCGAGGTTCGAACCCTCGCCGACGCACATCTGATATCTATGGTTGGCCTGCGAATTTTGGGCCACCGATATCCACGCTGAAAATTCCACACTTGTACCAAAAATACGGTGTGGAATCAAGCTGTAACCATAAAATAAAAAAAAATAAGATACTAACAAAACACAGTCTTCCTATTCCCCTGAAAGGACATTTCAGTGTGTTAGTTTGTCCCCTGCATGGCTCACCAATGCCAAGCCTTACTTTAAAAGTCCGTTATACACCTAATTTACCTGGAAATTAAATTCGCGTCAACTTCAGTGTGTGCTAGTCACTGACAAAATCTCAGCAGGATTGCAAAAGAATTATGCGGCATTAGCCAACATCACTCATTTCTGTCTAAAATGAGATATCCGGCTATTAATATATAAGTGTACAACACTCCTCTTGGTCCTACTTTAGGCCGATAGAGTCTTGGCTGCTGAGGGTAGAACACTTGGGATTTTAGGTTTTTAACCATAGCTCTCTTCCTCTTTTTTACCCAACCGAGGTAGAGTAGATTCCAAAGTAATATTCAGATTAGACGTGAAGTGTTATCCACGGAAGATAAATGGATCTATGTTTTTGTTAATTTTTGTCGGTTATGGTGGTTATGATATGTGTTAAATATACTGTTTGTAAATCAGTCAAGTCTAGCCGGTGATGCAGATGAGCAGCCTACAGGAATAAAAATCTCAATCTATGAAAAAATTTGAAAAAAAATTCAGGAAGGTTAAACTATCATAATTTCCTTTAGTTCCTATAGGAACATAGGGCTTTAGCCGCACGTCTTCATTGCACTCCATTCTCCTCTTTACTTGACCTCCTCCATGTCACTCTCACACTGACGACCAACTCGCCGCTTCCCTTTCGGGCTCCACTCGAGCGATGGCCTGACGTGTGATGTCACTTGATGGTTTCCTCAGACTATGGCCAGTCCACCTCCACTTCTTCCTACATATTTGTTGCACAATCGGTTCCTGCTGGGTTGATTCGTGCAATGCTAGAGATCCTTGTCGATGATCTTTTCTGCTCTGCCATCTGATCTTGAGTATTGAGCGAAGACAGCTGTTGGTGAAAGTCTGTAGTTTGTTCGAAGTGCCTTTCATGACGCTCCATGTCTCTGATCCGCATAGTAGATTGCAGCTCAAGGTGTTCAGAAAACTGCTGTATTTTGTCAGCGTCTTCATCTAGAAGGACTATATCATCTGCATATTCTTAGTCAACAAGATTATTCCCTGGTAGCAAGTCAATCCCTGAGTCGCTGAAGTCACTTAGGGTTAAGTCCAGTAGTACATCTATGATGAAATTAAATAGAAATGAGGATAGTGGGCATCCCTGTTGGACACCACTAGTTGTCACCACTTCAGATGACAACTAACCGTAAGCTCTTTCCTGGCTACATGAGTTCGAGTAAAGTGCCTTGATCAGTGCAATGTATTTTCTCGGAATTCCCTTCACAGCCAAGCATCGCCAGAGTACCTCTTGGTCGACAGAATAGAATGCCGCCTTTAGGTCAAGAATTATGACGATTGTTGGACGCCAACGGTGAGTATGCCTATGTTTCGGAATCTGTCGAAGGGTGAAGATACGATCAATACATCCTCTTACTTGTCTAAATCCTGCCTAGTTCTCTCGTGTTTGTGCCTCCCGAGCACCACTCAGTCTACGCATGATTATTGAGCCTAAGACTTTAGATACTATATTAGTTAGGCTAATCCCTCTGTGATTATCACAGGAAGACTTGTCTCCCTTCTTGTATATCGGGATAATCAGTGACTTACACCAACCTGACAGGACTTCCTCTGATTCCCAGACGCTTCCCTAGTACCTTAGTTAACTCAGACGACTGTAAACTCTCTCCATCGTACTTAAATATTTTTGGAGTTATTCCATTAGGGCCTGCTGCTTTGCCTCGTTTCAGACTTATTTGGTATACCTTATTATGTGATAAGAAAAGTGTTAGTCATGATGGTACTAATATTTACAGAGAAACACATTGAGTAAACGGCGCTTGTTATTCTTTCTTTCATTAATATATATTGATCCTAATTATACATTCATGTTCCTATTGTGATATGATTATCTATCAATGTAAATGCCCTCTTCAGTATTTCCTCCTTACCTTGTAATATAAAGAGGAAATTAGGTGCAATGTAGTCCTCTACGCTGAGATTCGCACAATGTATTAAAAGTACTCTTTGGAATAAACCCATTATTATTATTATTATTACTGTTGTTCAAGAATGGATGCATATTTAGAATTTTTATTTTTACTCTTACACTTTTTTTGTTGTTGTTGTTGTATATGGTTTCAGTTTTATCGTCTTACTGTGCAAACTTGTCTGATGGGCTTATCACAATTACAGCTACGTCGTCTTCAAAAATTTCCAGCAAATGAAATCACTGAACATGTACAAACATTATGGTCTTATGTGATTCTCTTCAGTGGATTGAGGAAAAAAGCTTCGAAACAGTCGAATCCTGTACTGAATGATGCGGAGAATGGTTGTTGTGTATCACCGCATAATAATAATAATAATTCAATACCTCCTTCTTCTGACAGTGATTCTTCATATCAGGCAGTGTCACCATTAGGTGATTCGCCGTCATCATCTGACTGTGAGGGATTTATAAAAAAGTAAGATAGAACATGCATTGAATATATATATATATATATATATATATATATATATGAATTTCCCGCATAACGATCGCACTACTTTTCTATTGGTTACCTTCTATCCTATAGTCATCCGAAATCAGGTCTATATAATAGCCTTTTTTCCAATCAATGTAACCTTTGAAAACATTTATTTCTCGATACGAATTTAAAACAAGCAATAGAGGAGTTAATAAAGCAGGATGATTTAATGAATTCATCAAATTTCGGTAGAACTCCTCCTCAGCTGAATACTCTACATACACGGATATATATGTACACACTATTGAAATTACATTGGGAGGTATAAGACTGATAAGTAAACAAACTACATTGAATTAGTCATGCAGAAAGACAGGTGTGAATGTTTTCCAGGTCATGTTCAAACAGATAGATAAGGGCAGAGAGAGTATGAGAGATTAAAATTAAGATAAATTGCATTACGCTTCAATTGCATCACTTAGATAAACAATTAGACATTAGAGAATATAACAAGAATTGCAAGCAGAGTAATATCAATAGTAATAGTTATAATAACAATAATAATAATAGTGTTGAAGTGAGTTAAGATAACGCTACTGATAAAGGATAATTTTAAATGAATCACGAATAATAATGATGAGAGGTAGAATAATTAGTAAAACGTATTACCATGGTAGGTTCAGAGTGACGACCATCTCCTTTTGTGCACAGAGACCTGGTTTATAAACTCGAATTGCACAAGACTCCCCAGGAATTGCAAGCATCTTCTTGTTTCTTTGTCTGCCGACAATAGTGAATGACTCGGTATCATGTGTCTATAGTCCACAAGATGTTTCGTTATTGAGGTTTTCAGCACTTTGTACTCAGCTGTTTTCAACCATTTCGGCGAATGCTCCATCATGCAAGTAGACAATCGCCTTTCTTTACGACCTATGTATTTGCTTCCACAAACACACTCAAATTGATATACGCAGTTTGAAGTGTCGAGGATGGGCGACTGGTCTCTAGCAGATTGTTGAAACACCCGCTTAGTGGTGTTAAGGAAAACACGTTTTGCAGCATAATAAGTTCTCTTGATGACTTTATCGAGTCTTCGTTTAATTACTTCCTGTACATCATCTCCTTTGAACGGCAAACTGATATAGACAGATTTCTTCGGAACTGTTTGGATAGTTTTGCGGGTGCTAATTTCTTTAGAATATTTATTAATGAATTTCTCAGGATATCCATTCTTAGATAAAATATCCTTCAGAGATTTTATTTCATGCTCAATACTACTGTCAGAACAAATTCTCCATGCTCTATTGGACAGTGTTCTGACTAAGTTCTTTTTTATACTGGGTTACAGCAAAGCTCTTGAAATGCATGTACTTTCCTGTCCATGAAGACTTTCTAGACATAGATCTTTCGATTGTGCCATCATTCATTTTCGCTAGAAAAACGTCTAGGGATTTAATAGTATCGTTTTCCTTGTGTTCTACTGTGAAATTGAGATTAGGATGACATTAGTTGAAAGTTTTATCAACATGTCTTCGGTTTTTGATATGCTTTCACAGACAATGCAAGCTTGAAATCACTTGTCTTTTGAAAAAATTTTATTCCTCTGTGTTCATAGTGGAACATAGGACTTCAAACTTGAGCTTCCAGGTGTCATTGGTAGTGGTGTTTCTTGTCACTGGAAAGGGTTGCTAGTCCCGCGCCCAACCTTTCCTCCTTATCCATCTTACCACCAGCTAAGAGAAGTTCAGTAGTGTGTCGACCAGGAGTCGAACGCTGGACCATGCAAATGTCCCGACCGAAAGCTGCTACCTTGACGTGGTGGTGGGGCTTGAATACCGCAGTGTTCTATTCAAGCTATACTAGCTGAGACTTATGTCTCTTGAGGTCCTACCATGCCAGGCAGGTTGTTTGGATAGCGGTTAAACAAAAAGCAGCTACCCAATCCAACATCATGTTCAATACAAAATCACAAAATTTCATGCCGGATCGGCCGTGGCCCGGATTAACAACGACCGCGCTTCCTGCTGCCGTGTCACAGGGCAGGAGTGATAAATATGCTACTGAGGCACACAAAACAAAAAGAACAAACAAAAGCAGGCCGCGTGTGACCGGCCTCAAGCAGTTGTCCCCTGGGCTCTGCGGTCACGCAACCAACTTCCACGGTGTGGGCAGCCGGGAAGTAACAATCGCCCTCACAATCCGAAACGCACGCGAAACCTCTCTATTACTCACTCATCTTTGTCTTCATCTTCATCTCTATCATCTTGCCTTCCTTCCACTGATGCAACTCCTCGACTTGATAGCTCTCCACTTCCTCTCCACTCTGCGTCCACTAAAAACGATGGAAGCCAAAAAACCACCACCGACAGCCTCTTAAAGCCGCGCCACCAATTTCATATAGGAGCTCTTAATGTTAGGACACTTTGCCAAATAGGACAACAAGCATCACTAGCCAAGACCCTGGCATCACGAGCCATTGATGTATGCTGTGTTTCAGAAACACGCATACAAGACCCAAGTGTGGTTATTCACCTAACCCCACCTGGCCAACAGGTTGAATCTGCAAAATTCACCTTGAGGGTGTCAGGAGATGCCACAGCTAGTTCACGAGGATTAGCTGGCGTAGGGATAGCTTTGAGTACTAGGGCAGAAAAGACATTGCTTGACTGGATCCCGGTAGATAGCCGAATGTGTGCTGTCCGCCTGAACGGATCAGTAAAAGAAAGGAAGGACTGCACTACTCGCCGATGCCTTTTCGTAATCTCCGCCTACGCCCCCACTGACTGCAGTTCAGATGAAACGAAGGATGAGTTCTACCAAAAGCTGTCTAGTTTGGTGCGAAAGGCTAAACGCTCAGACATAGTCGTTCTAGCTGGTGACTTTAACGCTCAAGTAGGGAAATTGTGTCAATCTGAGAAGGATGTCGGTGGCACCTATGGAGTTCCGTGCCAGCGAACCGACAACGGTGACCGTCTCCTACAGTTCTGCTCTGATAATCATTTGTTTCTTGTAAGCACTAACTTCAAACACAAGGAGAGACACTGTTTGACTTGGAGACCCCCTTCATCAAACCAACGCTGGACACAAATAGACCACATAGCAATAAGCTATCGTTGGCGTGGGTCGGTAGGAGATTGTCGCTCCTTCTGGAACACGTGCGTAGATACCGACCATGCACTGGTCCGCGCTCGGGTGTGCTTACGACTGAACGGACGTAGGAAACAGCTGGCGGTAAAACCATCACGTCCCCAGCTCGATCAGGAAACTAAATCCGTATTTGAGGAAGAACTAGCTAAACACATATCTGTGTTCGACAGCTGTGCTCACCCTGAAGAAGCTTGGAAAAATATCCAGGCAGCCATAGATACAGCTGTAAAAGCTGTGAATAAGGTAAACCCAAAGGTGAGTAAAAACCACTGGATCTCCACCGCCTCATCCGAACTGATAGATGCTAGAAGACTTATTCCGGCGAGCTCCGAATTCAATGAGGAGCGAAAGCTGCACAAGAGGAAACTTACGAAAAGTCTCCGCAAGGACCGTGAACAGTGGTGGGCGACAAAAGCCAAAGAGATGGAGAAAGCTTCGAGGATAGGCAACACCAGGCAACTCTTTGGACTCATCAGGGAAACGGGTGGGAGAAGACAAATCATTAGTGAGACAATCTCGGAAAAAAATGGCACTATAATTAGCTCACAGGATAGACGACTGGATCGTTGGAAAGAGCATTATGAGGAGCAGTTTAATTTGCCCACAGCCACGCTCAACCTTCCGAGCATCCAACACCTCCCTGAATGGGATATAGACACAGGTCCTCCGTCACTAACTGAGGTTACTAAAGCTGTCACCAATCTGAAACTAGGCAAAGCAGCGGGACCTGATGGAATGACTCCAGAGGTATTTAAGTACGGTGGAGACAGCTTACTGTCTGGATTAACTGAGGTACTAGGCAGCGTCTGGGAATCAGAAGAAGTCCCATCGGGTTGGTGTAAGTCACTGATTATCCCCATATACAAGAAGGGAGACAAGTCTTCCTGTGATAATCACAGAGGGATTAGCTTGACTAATATAGTATCTAAAGTCTTAGGCTCAATAATCATGCGTAGACTGAGTGGTGCTCGGGAAGCACAAACACGAGAGAGCCAGGCAGGCTTTAGACCAGGAAGAGGGTGTATTGATCATATCTTCACCCTCCGACAGATTCTAGAACATAGGCATTCCTACCGGCGTCCAACAGTCATTATATTTCTTGACCTAAAGGCAGCATTCGACTCTGTCGATCGGGAAGTTCTCTGGAGATGCTTGGCTGTAAAGGGAATTCCGAGAAAATATATTGCACTGATTAAGGCACTCTACTCGTACTCATACAGCCAGGTGAGGGCTTACGGCGAGCTGTCATCTGAACTGATGACGACCAGTGGTGTCCGTCAAGGATGCCCATTATCTCCTTTTCTATTCAACTTCATCATAGATGTGTTAATGGACTTAACCCTAGGTGACTTCAGCGACTCAGGGATTGACTTGCTACCGGGGAATAATCTCGTTGACTTGGAATATGCAGACGATATAGTCCTTCTAGGCGAAGACGCTGACGAAATGCAGAGTCTTCTAAACACCTTGAGCCGCAATCTACGAATGTTTGGCATGCGATTCGCTCCCGCCAAATGCAAGATGATGTTACAGGACTGGACTACATCGACGCCTAGTTTAAAAATAGGAAGTGAAGTGGTAGAGCACGTTGACCGCTTCACTTATTTGGGAAGTACCATCAGCCCCAACGGGTTGATCTCTGACGAAATCTCAGCACGAATACAGGGGGCTCGTTTCGCATTTGTTAGTTTACGCCGACTCTGGCGTAGACGAGATGTTCGACTATCGACCAAAGGGCGGGTGTACTGCTCATCAGTCCGCTCCGTCCTCCTTTATGGTTGTGAGACCTGGCCACTGAGAGTGGAAGACATGAAAAGACTAGCTGTCTTTGATCATAGGTGCCTGCGTTCTATTTCCCGTGTAAAGTGGCATAATAAGGTGAGCAACATTGAGGTTAGGCGTAGAGTTCTAGGTAAACAGGGGAAATCAATCGACGAAGTCGTGAAGCTACAAAGACTGAGATGGTTAGGACATGTGTTACGTATGCCAAGCCATCGCCTCCCTCGACGAGCAATGTTAGCGGATATAGGGTCAGGCTGGAAAAAAGCTAGCGGCGGTCAAACAAAAACTTGGCATCAGTCAATGAAATCCACAACAGTTGGTCTAAGCCACGTAGGAAGGTGTAGACTTCCAGGCTGGGGTCCTCGGGACGGTAAAAATCTATGGTTGGAAACAATTGGTGACATGGCTCAAAATCGTTCTCAGTGGCGCAGATGCATCCACTCCTTGTGACTTATGATCTCTAATGAAACTGTTTTGTCCTTCGTTATTACTCCTTTGTCTCACACCTCTGCTCACTGTTTCTATTATGCTTTTCTTGTACTTTCTTCTCTTGCTTCGCGTGCTACACGGAGTTTGGCGACTGGAACTGTCGCACATTTGTGCAAAGTTCTATGTCGAAAACAGACAAGCAGACTGGGTTAATCGATGGAGTTGTGAAGGTGCATTGATTGAGATGGTTAGGATACGTGCTACATATTCCGAGCCATTGTCTTCCTCACTGGGCAAGATCAATTGCTATAGGATTAGGTTAGAAAAGGGCATGACGCAGTCAAACTGAAACCTGGCACTGCTTCATGAAGTCTTTGATTATGGTTTGAATGGGCCACTTAGAATGCTTAATTGATGGGATCCACGGGACACTAAGAACCAATAGGTAGACACTGTTGGTGTTATAGCTAAAAATCGTTCTCACTAGTGCAGATGAAGTCATTCTTCGTGAACTCTCAACTGACAGGCAATGAAACATCTATTAAGTGAAACTTTCGGATAATGTCACGAATCATTTTCTTTGAGGATATATAAGAAAACGTGGAAATAATAAATGTTAACGTTCAAAATTGATATCCAATCGGAGATAATGGATATATATATATATATATATATATATATATAATACTAAAAACAGAAGCGGTAATATTAGATAGTTAGAGGCAATCGGTCACAGGAAGCCTTGCCTAACCTAGGTTTCGTGTTACTTGGCACTCGTCGATAAGGCGTATCTGCAACCTTGAAGAAACTCACGTGCCTTCTGAGTTTCAAACCTGTGCCACCCAATGCTACAGTCAGAGACGTTACCATTGAGCTAGTTATTCAGGCTCGTGATTGATGTAGTGGGTATTTTGATTGGAGAATAGTAACCAGTGCAACGTGTGTAGTCCTTTCTTTGGTGCACATTGAATTCTATCCAGTCAAAATACCCACTACAGTCCTACAGGAGGTCAATCGCCAGCCAGCCCGAATAGCTCAGTGGTAACGTCTCTGACTGCAGACGGCACTGGGTGATGCGAGTTCAAATCTCAAAAGGGACATAAGTTCCTTCAAGACGACTGCAGATACTCCTTGATGACTGGTGGGTGTCAACTAGCACAAAACCCAGGTCTAGTCAAGGCTTCCTGTGGCCGATTGCCTCTAACTGTCTAATATCATCAAATCAATGTGCACCATGATGGTGAGCTACCTAGAGGCATGGTGGCCACATTGCAAACTTGGCTGACTGATAGAATTCAGTCTGCACCAAAAAAAAGGGTTAGACGCGTCGCACTGGTTACTAGTGTCTAATCAAAATACAATCTTGCAGTAAATTAATCAAGAAAATTGTTTTCGTGCAGTACACTATTCACCAGTAAACAGAATTTCTATTTACTATTTATTTATAAGGGATATGAAACCATCAGCAATTATTCATAACGATTCATTGGATTCAGCTTTAATGACAACACAAAATATCGCCAATTGTTTACTACATAACAATAACAACAACTGTCGACATCCATCTGTTCACTCCTCGACAACATTACTATCGTCATCACCGTCTACGTCACATCGATTTCAAAGGAGTAGTTATAAGAATACTTCAAAAAAGTATGCATCGTTTATATCTGAAAAGCGATCAACTGCCTCTCCTTCTAATGCGTACAAAAGTCATGTAAGTTTACTTCCGCCTATAGTTAGCGTGTGTCTCTTTTTCCCTGATCATCATTGTTGGTATAAAATGAGAAGAGTTATTACGACCTGTGTGGTAAACTATAACCCCACCCACGTTTTCGTTAAGTTTATTCGACTTAACATTATTGATAGAATATTAATAGATAGGAGTGACATTTATGCGCAATTTATGCTCTCTGTGATATGATATATTCCTGTAACTTCCGACTGCAAGTCATAACCAGCGGGATTCAGTAAGTCAGCTAAGAGATCAGTTCCTTGTCTATTTAAATTGGCTGTTGGTTTCGCTATATATGTATCACGAATTAGCGGAAGTTAGAATTCATCGGCTGCCTTGTATCGATGTATACCACCATTTGGCAAAAATGTTTTCTACCATAGCCTCATGATTTTCTCATCTTTCTTAAGTTCAAGAGTCCTAAACAACTGTTTCGTCTTGGTCTTGTACCGTTCATCAGTATAAACCCATAATCCCACTGGGAGAAGAACCCAGCACCTACACGTTATAAGGCCAATTTTTTTTCCTTCACGTTCCCCAGTGGAACATAGGGCTTCAAGCTAGTGGCTTGAAGTTTCTGTAGCAGTGTTTATTTTTACTGGATGGGGTTGCTGGCCAGCCTCATGCCCAACCTTTCCTCTTTACCAGCATTATTTCTGGCTTGGCGAGGTAAAGGAATGTGTCGGTGGCCGGGGATCGAACCCCGGCCCATGTGCATGGTCGGCGAGCGTCCTAACCGCTATGGCACCGACGCAATAAGGCCAATAGGTTGACTATATAGTAACTGAGAGGCCATCCGATCGCCCATGAATTCTGACTTTTATTTCAGTTCGCGATTATTTGTTTTTTTCTGACATCTTAAGCATGAAGTTATTACTCGTTATTGCGTAATATATATATATATATTATTTCTCTTATATGATTTGTATTTTAGTCTAAATGCTATCTATTAGCTATGTTCTGCCTTAAACATATGCTGGAAATGTATGGACCACAAGTTATCATTAACTGCTGGCCTATACTTATGAATAGTGATTGCCTGCAGACAACAGCTTCTGAAGACAGATCGCTCAATTCTATTGCATCATTACATGGGATCTCAACACCTGATCTGCTTAACTTGTATTTTAAAACTAATGATGAAAGAATTAAACAGGTTAGTTACAAACATTTTGAAGTCATTTATCATTATTATTATTTTATCCTTTAATTTCTAGAGGAACACAAGGCTTCAGCTGTGCATCTCCATTGCCTTCTGTTTTCTGCCAACTTTTTCACCCCGCTCCAAGTCTACCTACATGCACTCATCTCCTCTTCACATGCCACCTCCTCCAAGTCACCCTTGCATTGACGACCGACTCTCCGCTTCCTTTTCGGCTTCCACTCGAGCAATGGCTTGTCTAGTGATTTCACTTGATGGTTTCCTCAGCATATAGCCAATCCATCTCCATTTCTTCCTGCCTATTTGTTTCACAATCAGTTCCTGGTTGGTCGCTCCCAGAGATCCCTGTTGCTGATTTTGTCATATATATATATATGTTGATACATACCGTATGTGAGGCATGTCACTAGAAGTAAAATTAGACGGAGGAAGGCCAGGGGTGATCAGATCAAAGTCTGACATCATTTCATGAAGTTATTATTACATTGATTGTTCAGAACAAAATATTTAGAGCGAACAATTGTGGTTTCAATAAATCCGTCTTCTTCAGGCTCTACAATTATAAATCCATTCATTTAAGCATACAATACCCAGCCAGTCAGTAAAGGCGAATTACAATCATATCAGAAAGTGTATTGTGGAACAAGTATAAGTAAGATGGGATGTAAAAATGGTCAGATAGTTTTTTTAATATGCGTGGTCAATAAGAACATGGGACAAAGTGAGATGAAGTAATTTAATTTAATGATGTGTGTGTGTGGTGATAGCAGGCTGCTAGCCAATTGGTAGACATTAATTTACGTCAATGTCTATGTCGCTTATTGACCGTGAGAAAATATGAACAAGACTGATTCAACAACCACGCACAGCAAACTTAACGTGGGCAAATACGATTCTCAGATATATGGCTTAACTTTCTTTGAAATCTCGGTCACAAGCAGTACAGAATAACCCTGAGCAAGAAACAACGAATCAGAAGACTGTGTTTGTCTACTTGAATAAGCTATAATAATGTACATGAAATATATAGAAATACGTGCCGATTTCCTTAATAAACGATCTGTTGCCTGGCCCTTGGGTATAGAATAAAACGCATATGCTCAGAGGAATTCATTAAGGAAAAAATGCATAAACTGAAACTCACACTTCAACAAAATGGATATCCATAGAGCTTCCTAAAAAAGTTAGGGATAAATTACCATATATGGCCTCATTAATGTGCACCTATGAATTCAACTGCTCATGTGGAGCTAGTTACATTGGCCGTACTCGGAGGGCTTTATCGATGCGCGCACGTGAACATGTACCTGTATGGTTGAGTAAAGGAGTAACCAAAGGCATAAATAGTGCAGTCTTAGCCCACTTTGTAGATACTGGGCACCCAATAAAACTTGACCAGACGTTCTCAGTTATTTACCGCGTTCGTAGTAATTTATCTAGGGAAGCTCAACTACGTCTTCTATCAGCAGCTGAAGCGGTTGCAATTGATACCAGAAGACCATCTCTTTGCATACAGAAGAAGTATGTTCAACCTCTATGCTTACCTTGGCCTACAATAAAGCCAACAAATCCTCCATAAACATTAGCACTTTAAATTCCTATCACAATTTTCTTTTCTTCTATTTCTCTGTTTCATTGACAAACGTTCATTTTCGACTTTTTTGATTTCATGACCTTTCTTACGATTTCTATTACCTGAAGTTAAAGTAGTGCTTTTCTAACTTGCTATCATATTTACAAAATCCTGTTCATTCCACTTCATTATTATTATTATTGTATCCTTTAGTTCCTAGAGGAACATAGGGCTTCAGCTGCGCACCTCCATTGACTTCGGTTTTCTGACAACTGTTTCACCCTGCTCTAGGTCTGTCCACATGCTTTCATCTCCTCTTCGCATGACCTCCTCCAAGTCACCCTTGGACGACCAACTCGCCGCCTCCCTTTCGGGTTCCACTCGAGGGCTTGTCTAGTGATGTCACTTGATGGTTTCCTCAGCGTATGGCCAATCCATCTCCATTTCTTTCTGCCTATTTGTTTCACAATCGGTTCCTGATTGGTTCATTGTTATTATTATTTGACAATAGTACTTGTAATTTTACACCATATCATCGTTATTATTTTACAGTCATTCTTATTGCTGCTATTTTCAACCTTGAACTTATGTCTAGACCACCCCATTCGTTGGTTTATTTTCATATTGTCTCACATACCCTGATTACACTCACTTTCGAAATTTGTATTTTCCGTTGACTATATTTATATATATACACACATACATCATTAAATTAAATTACTTCATCTCATTTTGTCCCATGTTCTCATTGACCACCCCTTTTTAAAAACTATCTGACCATTGTTCCATCCCATCTTACTTATACTTGTTCCACAATACACTTTCTGATATGATTGTAATTCGCCTTTACTGACTGGCTGGGTATTGTATGCTTAAATGAATGGATTTATAATTGTAGAGCCTGAAGAAGACGGATTTATTGAAACCATAGTTGTTCGCTCTAAATATTTTGTTCTGAATAAATTATGGGAATATTCAATTTACATTAATTGTTACTATTCCCTTGTGCTTCTAGTGAAACACAAGGCTTCTGCAGCAAATCTCGACACCATCTGGTTATCTGGGACATTTTCTACCCGCCTTAACGACTGTCTATAAGCTCTCATCTCACCCCCCGGCCAAATGATCTCCCTCTTGTTATCCTCGGATGCCCAACTCGCCATTTCCCATTCTGTGTCCAGTGGAAAGTCTACCTGGCGAGAGTAATTTCACTTCAATGTTCTCAGTGTCTTCCCTACCAATATATTCCTTGAGTAATAGGTACTTGGGTGGCTCGTTACCAGAACTCCTTGTCGCTAATCTTTTCTGACTGGCCATCCGATCTTTGATATGAACTGGAGGGAGCAGCCGTTGATAAAAGTCTACAGCAGGCTGTATCTAGAATCAAATATACCCACATAAACCTTTTCTTCTAGTTTAGTTACTTTTGAAATTATCTTACTAAACCTCATTGCAATATTTTCTTTTTCTTGTCATGTTTATTTTTGTATGTGCGCTTGCTTGTCTTCGTGTATTTCTGATTTGTGTTTATTCTGGTTTTGCCTTTTGTTTCCGCGGTGCATTTAACAACTTAAAGGGATGCTACAGTTGTGTGAAAGATTGAATATCTGTCGAGAACTTGAGCTTAATACTACCCTCATAAACGACCTGGTACTATGGTCAAGGGTCCTCTGGAAATGCCCTTCTGTGACCACACGTGCATAGCCTCTACCTCTGCATTCACGTTTTTGGGGTGCTGCTTACTCAAATGAGAGGACGAGGGCGAAAGTCTGGCACTTAAAATCGGACTTGTCAACATACAGGTCTTTTTGATTTGACACTAGTAACTAGTGTGATGCGTCTAGTCCACTGATTAGTGTAGACTGAATTCTATCAGTCAGGTTGTAATGTGACCAACATTCTAACTAGCTCGCCATTACAGTGCACAGTGATTTGATGATATTAGTCGGTTGGAGGCGATCGGCAGGAATCATTGGACCTAGGTTTCATGCTAGTTGGCACCCGTCAGCAAGGCGTATCGGCAAGCTTGAATGAATCCATGTCCCTTCTGAGATTCGAACTTGCGTCACCCAGTGCAGCCTGCAGTCAGAGACGTTACCACTGAGCTATTCGGGCTGGCTGGTGATTGACCTCCTGTAGGACTGCAGTGGATATTTTTATTTGACACTAGTAACTAGTGAGAATAATTAGTGTGTGAACCCGAATAGCTCAGTGGTAACGTCTCTGACTGCAGGCTGAACTGGGTGACGCGGGTTCGAATCTCTGAAGGGACATGAGTTCCTTCAAGACGGCTGCAGATACGCCTTGATGACTGACTGGTGAGTGCCAACTAGCACGAAACCTAGGTCTAGTCAAGGCTTCCTGTGGCTGATTGCCTTCAACCATCTAATAACATACAGGTCTATCAAGCCGACGCCGTAAGTTGGCTCCAGAATCCGAAAGGAGACAATGGTATACGAACCTGTTTTGGTCATCGAAAACCATGGGAATGCAGGTGTTGACTCTACTACACTGTCTCGTGGGTTAGGCTTCAAGTTAAAGGTTGGGGGCAGGGGTGGCTCTTTTGGGATAACCGTATGTTTCAGTCTGCATGTCCGACTAGTATCCAGGCCGTCGCGCAGACTATGAGACTTTGTGTGCGCATCTTCTGGTGCTCTTAATGTATTATTTCCGTCTTAATAATAGTAATAATGAGTGTTATATCTATATATATATCGACTTTGTTTCCTTTACAGATATTACTAGAAATACTTGTTCATCTACTTTCGCATGTTAATAAACGTTTTATTGTCGCTGAAGATCTCACGCCTTATTCTGCTTCATTTATACCATATTCTGTTAGATTGGCTATGGAGTTACGTCATTTACATCGTCGTCTAGTGTTAGCATTATCTGTTGAAAAAACTTATACATTCCAGGTAACACATTGAAAATCCTTTTTTCTCTTTTTTTTGTTTTTATCTAACCGAGTAGAAATATTATTTTGTTAAACCTACTTTGAAGGCTTCTAGATCGTATTTGATATTTTGCCTAGAGATTTAGTATTGTTTACCATCGGTTGTTTTATTCACTTATCTACAGGAGACTCGACCATTAGCTGCTACCTTGAAGTGGTGATTGGACTTGCATATCACATTGACCCCAGCAAGCTACACTGCTTGGAGCTACTGTTCCCACAGGTCTTACCATGCCAGGAAGGTTGTTAAGATAACGACTGAACTAAAAGCAGTTACCGGCATAGCGTAGGAAATTTTTTTTTAACATTATGCTGGGGTTCTGAGGGTGAAGTCGTACTGCTGGGGAACAGGGGTGTAACAGCAGTGAGGTGTTTCCCTCAGATGACCAGCATGCCAGCCAGCTATGCTGTCTCTCCACTCTGGAGGGAGGGAGTTAGAAAACGTCGACCCCAACAATTGTACATGCTGACTTACCCTATGGCGGTTCGTAACCGGAGGTAAGTTTACTAATACAGAACCAATTCAAGAAACCAGTTCATACAGACCGTGCGTGACTGGCCTCGAGCACTTGTCTCCTAGGCGCTGCGGTTACGCAGCACTCTTTCTGTTTCACGTACCCGAAGAATCAATCAACTTCCACGGTGTGGGCAGCCAGGAAGTAACAACCGCCCACACACTTCCAAAGGCACACGAAGCCTATCTGCAGGAGATAGGAGTAATATACTGACAGTATAGTGGAATTTTTTTGTTAAGTTTCCTTAACGTCGTTTGAATTGAGAATTATTAATGCTGGTTGTAGATTTATTCTTTTTTAAATGCGAATGTTTAACTTATCACACCTGGTACTTTTGTCGGACGGTCAACTTAAACTCTAATCACCACTAACTAAACTACCAATAGAGTGCGACCGCACCAACGACCTTGAAATGCTCACCAAATAAGTTAGTGAAACCTGGCAAATAATGTTGTCATCACCGATAAAACATGCTTATCGAAGTGTTATGCTATTAAATGCGATTTCTAGCAAGTTTCACCTTAGGTTGAGGAAAGACTAAGTTGAGGTTTAGGCCAATGACAAGTTAGGGTTACGTTAATCTACTAGAGGCGACATTAGTGTTAGTTCGAGTTAGATCGGGGTTAGTTTAGGGATATTTCCACGTTAGAGTTAGGCCCAGGAAAGATTAGGGTTATTGTTAGGGTTAGAAGGCCTAAATAATTACATGCATAGGATGTGGTTAAATTACTCTGTTAATATAAGAACAGAACTTGTGCACTGTGTTACAGTAATAATTCCATTGTTGGTAACATCTATTTTGATAAATTCTCACAATATTATACAGTAACATTTATTGATGACGTTTCGAGCACAGTTTATTGCCCAGTAAATATTACCGCATAACACCGTGAGACATTACCAAAATAAATTTTACCCTCAATGGAATTATACTCTGTCTATACCCCAACTTAAAACTGAGAGCTATTTTTATCGATTGCGAGGGCAATGTATCCTTTGTAACACTTTTATACAGTTTTTATACATCTTTTTCATATATATATATATATATATATATACATATACATATATATATATATATATATTTTACACAAAAATACCTCTCACGTGATTGGTGCGTTCGAGGTCATTCGCTGATTGGTAGTTGGTGGTGCTGAAAGTTTAAGTTTGCCGGTTGGGCATTTAGCTTTCAATAAACTCTGTATTAATTACTCGGAGGTTTTGGCGGAAAGGTAGCACCATCATATATATATATATCTGCTAATCGTATCCGCCCACTCGAAGTCTGCTGTGATTGGTTGTTGAGTTAGTCTTTGTTCTTGTTTTTTCCTCATGACCAAGGGACGTAAACACTGACATAAATTGCTGTCTACCGAATTCGGCTAGCAGACAGCTCTCACCACCTATAGAGAAAAGACCAACAAGTATTATTTTCCTTAATCTGTGAACTATAGTCCTGTTAGGTGGTTAGAAGCGATTGACAAAAAGCCATTGACCTAGTTTTCGTGCTTGTTGTCACTCTTCAGTCAACATGGTGTATCAGCTATCTTGAAGGAATTCATGTCTTTGTTTTCATCGAATCTAGTATTTACCAAACGAGAATTTAAACGCATGACATTCTTTATCACCTAGTGTTCAATCAAACTATAATCTTGATGAAACAGTTGCCCGCCAACTAGATGCGTAAGAACCTGAGTGGCTAACAAATTAGGTAACAATGTATTGAGTTCAAATTAAATCATAGAAACACGAGACAAGCAAAATTACAGATTATAAAAGGAGGGTGAGGTTAAAGACAAAGATTACTTAATCAGATGAGAGAAAAAAGACATTCAGTTATCAGGGCAAGGAAAGACTAATAACTGATTCTTTCTGAACACATAAATCTGGTTTCAAGCGTTTGATAGAAATCGCTTCGGCGAACTTGAGGAGAATTGAGCTCCTTTGTCTATTGATAATTTTAAAGGATTTTGCGATTTCCACCTACCTCATGACTGGTATCGAGGATATGTATCTGGTAATAGCGCTGTTATAAGAGTTTGTTCCCCTTTGGAGACGTAGGCTTTTCGGTACATGTTCGGAAAATCGGAGTTGTGCCCTTCTTTCTGTTCTCCCCATGTAACTGTATACACAGTTGGAGTTAACACGACAAGGGTATCTGTCGACTTTTGACTGCACCAAAGAGCATGTTGTGCGATGGACAGGAAACAGCTTAGCTGGCTGCAGGACAGCCTCAGGCTAGTGACGTACTCAGTCTTCTGTTGATCATTTCTGCAATGTCTTCACCTTTAAAATTTAGTTGAATGAAGACAGGCTTTTTTCAACTGTGATTTGTTTGGTATTTGAGCCTTCATATCTTCCATGTTTGTTGATGAATCTTTGAGGATAGCCGTTGTGTTTCAGCACCTTTTCGAGATTCGTAAATTCTTCCTCTAGTTTCTCTGCTGAGCATATTCTCCTCGCTCTATAGTACAGTGTTGACTAGTGCTCGTTTATAGCTATTTGGACAAAAACTATTAAAATGTAAGTATTGTCCATTCCATGTGGGCTTTCGGTAGATTGACCTCTGAAGACTACCATCTTCTAGGCGTTTTATGGCGATGTCAAGGAAATGGAACTTTCCATCATTTCCATGTTCCATAGTAAAATGAATATTTGCATGTGTGTCGTTGGATAATTTGACTGTAGGTAGGGAAGCATGACACTTGCATTGTGTTGCACACTTCAAATGTGTCCTCAAGATCAAGATCTTATAGCACAGAACCTCGTGTAGGTTCGAAATGTTTACTGGTGCTGCATCGAGATTGACTCTTCAGTTCAGACCATGTGAATTCTGACTCACTTTTTTGATGTAGTAATAGTAGTGTAGTGAGAGCTGGCTGTTAGCCAAATCGGTAGATAGTTATATACGTGAATGTGTATGTCCCCAAAATTGGTAGTGAGAAAAATATCAACAAAGACTAACTCAACAACCAACCACAGCAGACTTTGCGTAGGCGGATCCAGTTGACATACAGATGATCTGACATTCAAGAAACAGTCACAAAGAGATGCAAGGTTAACTTTCTGTGAGAAACAACCAATCAGAAGATTGTGTTTTTCTACTAACAATAATCTATAATAATGTACATGCAAATCTATAAATATATGTTGATTTCCTTAACAAACGATCTGTTGCCTAGCTCTTGTCTTCTGTTGTTACATTGGGTGTCGCTGCCTACCGGCGAATGGAAAGCCTATGCCCTGCAGTTTTTGATGGAGACATAGATCTTCGGGCAGGACTTTGAGACTCCTTTTCAGTTGAGTGGCGTTCAATATCTGTCATCGATGAGACTGTTACTTGGGACTCTTCTGGGAGTTCGGGGGGGAGGAAGAGCATATGAAAGCGTGAGTCAAAATGCCGACGAATGTTCGACACGGTCAGGAAAACAGTTTCGAAAGTGGGAAGGACCACATATGGTCACTTTGAGACGTGGTTACGTAGACACAATCGCAATGTTGAACAAATAGAAACAGGTGAACATCAGCGAGCGCCGAGACTCCAGACAGCAAGACAAACGAACAAAGCCCCTAGAACCAAGAAGATCAAGCTGCCTTCAGTCGCAAGTCTTTAACGGGGGAGGGCGGTGAGTGTGGTGAGAGCTGGCTATTATCCAAAATTGGTGGACAGTAATTTACGTCAATTTTTACGTCTCAAATATTTAGTCATGTGTTGATTTCCTAAATAAACGATCTGTTGCCTGGCTTTTGTCTTCGGTTGTTACAGTAATAGTAGTAGTAGTAGTTGTTGTTGTTGTAGTATCAAGCAGGTCATTTAGCCAACTGAATATATACATTGAATTCCAGGAAGGATTTCATGAAGGCATTTTATTCTAGACTTTGTAAATTGTATGCAAGTGAAATAATGTACATGTGTTTTGCTCTTGTGCTTGCTATTCGTATTTATATAAGTAGAATAAATATGCTTCCGTTCACTTTCAAAAAACAAAATCTTGTAGGCTTTACTACTAAAAGCATTGGGTGCTCTTGTGCTTATCACACCATATCAACGTCTTCAACCTGGCCTTTTAACATCATTACTGCCAATAATCAATCATCTACTACAACCAATAAAGCTAAATATAAGTAGACCAGCTGATATCAGATCTGGATGCCTAGCGTTGTTAGGCAATATATTAGGCAAGGTGAATGGACCTTTGATTGAGGTGAGCACAAATTGTTTTTTTGATTGATTGAAACTCTTTTTCAGTAATGATTATATTATTATTAATATTACTGTTCCCTTGGGTTCCTAGTGGAACATAGGGCTTTAACTGCACGTCTCCACTTGCTGCTGTCTTACTTCTGCTGTACTTTTCACCTGCATCCATGTTAGTCCATACTGTTTCAACTCCTCTTCACACGATTTCCTCTATGTCACCCTTGCACTGACGTCCCACTCGCCGCTTCCCTTTCGGCCTGGTTCCAGTCGAGCAATGACCTGACACGCGCGCTATGTCACCCAGCGACCTCCTCAGCGAGTAGTGTCCAATCCATCTCCACTTTCTCCTGCATATTTGTTGGTTGGCGATTGGTTCTTGTTTTGTTTGTTCTCACAGTTTCTTGTTGTTGGTGATTCTTTCCGGCCTGGCCATCTGATCTTCAGTATAGAGCCAGCGAAGACAGTTGTTGATAAAGGTCTGCAACAGGCTGCTGGAAATATTCTTTGTGACCCGCCGGCCAAGTTTCTGATCCGTATATGATGATACTTTATTATTATTACGGGTTTCTGTTGCTGCTGACTGTGAAATCCCACCAATAGACGACAACATGCGTCTGTTGCCTCCATTTGTTCCATTTTCCATTGTTTTTGTTACATTGATGCAATGTCTTCGAACTGGAAACCATTTCGAATCATCTGTAGAGAACAAGGTAAATGTGTGCTGTTGATATAAGAATATAAAACTTGTGCACTGTGGTGGTAGAGTATAATTCCATTATGCGTAAAATTTATTTTGATAAATAAAGTCTCACAGTGTTATACACTAAGTAACATTTACTGATTACCATGTTTTGAGCACAATTTATTGCTGCTCATAATCATATCATATCGTATAAATAACTGCAGATCCTGAACTAACTCATAGGATGAAGTTGCCCATTGAAGAAATTATTTTCGGAATGCAGTTATGCCTCACATCTACTATCATTAAATTCCACAGCAAATTATATAGACAAACAGAAGGTGCAACAATGGCATGGTTCACCAATATCCCCTATCGTAGCAGATAACTTTATGGACAGCTGGGAAAATGTTGTTCTTAACACAACATTTAATCCTACTCCAAAAATATGGTGGAGATATGTGGATGACAATTTCACAGTGTTTAAAAACACAACATATCTCTGTCTAGCTTCTTGACACATATGAACTCACTAGTGGAGGGAATAAAATTCACATTTGAATCGAAAAATGAGCAAGGAGAATTAGCTGCGATGTTAGATTGTAAAATAAAACGAATAGAAGAAGGTAAACTGCACACCAGTGATTATAAAAACCAGCGTATTCTGCTAACAGACATGTAGACTTTAATTCATCTCATCTATTAACTGTTATGGCTGCCTTAGTTAAGTGCTGCCTAACAAACCGAGCAGTAGCACTAAGTAGTTCAAGAAAAGACCTAAATGATGAAATAAAACAGACAGAAGAGGCGTGGGTGTTATATAACTAACCATCTTATAAAATTCTTCAGTAATATCAAAAAAGTTCAAAAGCAAATTAAAAATAATTGTGAAACTAGTAATGATAACATAATTAAGAGAATATGAGTCATCCACTGTTATACCATATAAGGAGGAGACATCTGAGACCCTATGTAGGATTCTTAAAAGCAGAATTCAAACCTGCAAACTCACTCAGGTAGGACAAGCTCTGTAGGCTACAAGACCCGGTGGACCCAATTAGACAAAATAGTATAATTTACAAAATACCTTGCAATGACTATGAGGTCAACTACATAGGTCAAACTAGTAGGTCAGGGGTAGTCAGATTGTCAGAGCATAAGAATTTAGCTAAGGTAAGAATGGTTGACCCAGAGAAGATAAGTAATTTAGAAAAAAGCTAGGGAATTGTACTGCATACATTCATACACAACCACACAATAGGGTGGGAGACGGTTAAAATTCTTAGAAGTAATATAGTTTGGTGGAGAGTGAAAGAGGTCGATTACTGAATCCTTGTCCATCGAGTCTACACCCAACACTTGCAATAAGTATGGCTCATCACTCATACCGGAAATATGGAAAATACTACTACTAATTAAATCAAGCGATGGAAAATAATGGAATTATATAAATGAAGTTACAAAGTTGTGTGAGTAGTGTCTTGATATGATTATGAGCAGTAATAAATTGTACTCGAGACGTGTGGTCATCTTTGTAAATATTACTGTTTAATTGCACTGTGTTGCTAATGCAGCAAATTAATCTTTGCTCTTTATGAAATGAAGAAGTTATGCTTATAATGTACTATTCCCTAATTTATTACATGGGCTGTTCTCGTCGTATAATTATGAATGTTGATATAAGTGAATATTAGCTGTATTTGACCACACCACAGAACTTTGTGTTCTGTTTTCTGCATGAAGTAGTATAATATGGTGAGTAATATTGAGGTCAGGCATAGAGTGTTAGATAAGGAGGGCGAGTCAATCCATGAGGTTGTGAAGATACGTCGATTGAGATGTCCTAGGGCATGTTTTATACTCATGTCAAACCAACGCCTTTCTCGTCGAGCAATGTTAACTGTCATAGGACTAAGACTGGAAAAGAGTAACGGTGGTGGTCAAATCAAAAGGTATAATTTACGCATAAAGTCTTTCACAGTTGGTTTTAACTAGCCACGTAGAAAAGGGATAGAATAACTGGCTGGGGTCCCCGAGATGTTAAGAACCAATAGCAGGAGCCTTTTTTTTAATGATGTGACTCGAAATCATTCTCATTGGCGGAGATGTGTTCACTTTTTGTGATCTCTCATATTCACTAAACCATCATATTGCTCTAGTAGGTTTTTATTCTTTGTCCCTCGTATTTTTGCCAAATAAAGGGATCAAGTTTATATACAGAACAACTTTAACATGCTTACAAATCTAAGATATTGTCACTTGACAGGAGACTTCAAACTTAGGGAACAATGCTCAGGAATTACACTTCTAAAGCTTATACTCAAATAGTTCATGTTTGCATAAAAAAAGAAGCCCGGATACAGTGGCAAATGAGTTGCGTAATAAAGATGAAAAGTGGATAAAATGATGAGTGACCAATAAGTTGAGCAACAATGTGTTTATTTCGACTCAAAACATAGATGCAAGAGACAATTAAAACTATATTGTTGGTAAAACCAAAGATCGCTTAATCAAATAGTAAAGACATCCAGTTATCAGAAGGTAGAGAAAGACTGATATTTTCTTCTATCTGAACACATAATTGCGGTTTCAGGCGTTTGACAGCAACCTTTTTCGGCATACTTGAGCAGAAATGAACTATTTTGTTTATTTTCTATAATTGGTTTGTAAGGAATTAGTTATGTTTTTTACGAGTTGATCACGGATCGAAATCAGTTAGATAACCATTGAAATTCAGGGAGTACTGGTTTGGTGGACAGCTGTTGGGGTTGCGCAAAATGACGAATTGGTAGAATTTAGAATTCATGGAGTAGCCATTAAATTGGGCCCCAGTGGCTGAATGGTATACGAGCTCGCTGGTATTGTAACCGAAAGGTCCTGCCTTCCAACCCTGATAGTGGGGCGTACTGCTGATGATTCCCAAACTAAGATGACGAAACAGCTGTCCAGTACTCCCTGGTTTTCAATGGTTCTCTAACTGAGGATTTTATTATGTCTTCTCAGCATTTGTATAAATGAGATACCTGGTAGTGGCACTAATTTAAGTGTCTGTTCCTTTCAGACGTTGGGTTTTTAGTACATGTACAAAATGTTGAAGATGGTCCTCTTTTCTCTTCTCCCAGTGTAAATGCTATCACAGATACATGTAAATTTGCACACACAGAGTTAATAGGGAGGGAGGGTATCTATTGACCTTTAATTCAAATAACATTTGATGAACTGTTCCGTTTATTTATCCATTTCTTGTCAATAGGTTTTCCAAATTTTATCGCCTTCACTGAATGTCCCAGACAACAATACTGTTAGCCCAAAGAATAACTTAATAAAACCAACAAATTTATCTCCAACGCATGATTCAAATTCTTATTCTTGCTACAGGCACACATTTACGCCTTGTTGGCTTGTTCAAGTAAGCAATCAGTTTTTTATACAGTTTCTTTACATAATTACTTTTTGACAGCAAAAATAGTTAGAGCGAACAATGGTTTTCAATAAATTCTTCTTCAGGCATGAAGAAAATAAAAGACTAATTCAGTCAGCGAAGAAAATTTCCGCTATCGACGAAATCATCTTCCTTCAGAGGCTGTACTGTACAATCGTATTTATACTTACAAAAATATATATAGTGGTCTATTATTGAGTAATAGGGGGTGACATAATTGATATAATTACTCATAAGTGGCTTTAGAAGTGAAAAGAATTAAAAGTTGTAAATTACGTGGTACTCAACGATGGCACAAAGTTAGAAATTTGATGGGGTTAAAATTACTGTTGAGTGAGAATAAAGGTGGTAGTTGAGTGTCAATTTAACAAGTGTGAAGAGCGTGTGAAAATGTACGCATAAAAGTAGCATATGATAGTGATAGTAGTGAATTAATTAATAAAGCAGAAACAAACTAAAAGTAAAATTAAAAAATAAAAGAAAAAATCAAAATTTTTTTTACAGGGACGACTAGTGGTGAGTTTAAGACAAAGGTAGAATAAGAGACTGGAAAGACTTTTTTCTATATACAGAGTTCGGGGTTGTATTGAAGAGCTGCCAGCGCCTCCACCATACACAAAAGCCGGAACCTGACGCTCTTTGTATCATTTGGCCTAACCTTGTAGGTGATCTTGAAAGACGACTCTGGTGGAGCTACGTGGCTTGAGTTAGTCATTGTCTTGCATTGTCTCTTTGCTAACCATGGCGGATAATGTTCAGATATGCGTTGGGAAAGCGTGCGCTATGTGCAAGCGGCCAATATAACTAGCTCTACACGAGCAGGTGAATTTATAAACATATATTGAGGTGGCCCAAAGCGACAGTTTATCCACGTCATTAACAACTTTTAAATTTTTACTTCTAAAGCCACTTCTGAGTAATCATATCAATTATGTACCACACTATTACTCAATAATAGACCACTATATATATTTTTGTAAGTATAAATACGACTGTACAGTACAGCCTCTGAAGGAAGATGATTTCGTCGATAGCGAAAATTTTCTTCGTTGACTGAATTTGTCTTTTACTTTCTTCATGACTCAATGGTTATTTTCGGAGATTTGAAGCAGAGCAAGAGCTCTTCTTCAGGCGGTACAGTTATAAATAATTTCGTTTCTCCTACAGGAAATCAAGCACCAAAGCCTTGTGAGAGCTGCACTAAGTCAGTTTCAGAATGAAGCTTGGTTGTATAGTTTAGAGTCAGTAGTTCCTGTACCAATCGCCTCAGCTAAATGCATTGGATTAATACGCAGACTGCTGGAAATATTTGATGAAATGCGGTGAAATCGCCTTGAATGCTTTCCTTTTGTCTACTGAGTCGCCGTCATCCGCAAAATGTAGAACAGAGGCAGTCAGATTAGTCGAACATAAAAACCTGGCAAAATCTAGATTAGTTGACCCAAATAAGATAAGAAATCTAGAGAATAGTTCAGCTGTACTATTACATGCAGTTACTGATATGTATCCACATATATATGTATTTATGTGTGTGTGTATGTTGGTCTCTCTTTCTGTTTGCTCGCTTAGTCTGTGACCATTTCACTTGTGTGAACTCGTCTCCTTTAATAATGTATATTCTCCTTATATTATATTATATATAATATGAGTGTTTGTTGACAGTCCGTTGCTTGGTGACATATATCCATATATGTTGTTGGCATGTCTGCTATATTCGCTATGTATATTTGGATCGACACTCCATTATAATTAGCCATTCATGTTAAGACTGTCTAATGATTTTTCCCACGCTTTGTCTGGAACATTTATTCGCATTCACAATTTGTGTGAACTACTTAACTACTTTACAACTACTTTACTTATTTACCACTTTGGTGTGAGACCATTTATTTTCGTCTCCTTGTGTTTGGACAATAGAAGTATCATCGCAAACCTAGTGGTCTTCTGATTTCCGCCTTCTCGCGTCAGGAATATTAGTTACTCTACCAGACCATAACAATAATTTAGCGACGAGTACATAACAGTTACACACAACCATACAATAGAAGGAGATGGGATAGGATGACAGTTTTAAAATCTAAGGTCACAGGGTATAGGGAGAGGTTGATAACAGAAGCTTTATTTATCGAATCAACTGAAAACACGTGTAGTAGGAATGATTCAACACCTGTCAAGTTGGAGATCTGCAAAATTTTACTACCCTACGATAACAAATAGCAAAGAATAAAGAAAACTGTAGAACTCAAATTTGGAAGTCGTGTGATTACAGTTGATATGATTATGAACAGTGATGAATTGTGTTCGAAACTGTGTCATCCAGTAAATGACACTGTTTCACTGACTGTGTGATACATCTAATAAACAAACTAATATGGAATTTCTTACAAATGATCTCACCTAGTCTTGTAACTATAATTTGACTTTGTTATTGTACTATGATTACTACTACTCTAGCTAATTCAGTTAATTTATTTGCATGCTGATATTTTTGACGTAATTCTTCCTAGTCATCATTACTTTTGCTGATTTCCTCCTCATATAATAAACTTCTTGCTAACACCTAAGAATTCGTTGGTCTTGAATTCCGGGACTGTTTCCACCCCTCCTTCAAAACTTAGTTATGTACTGTTGCTTTCACCTATTAATTACTTGTTTTGATGATTTCTAATCTCTTATGTTCATCTCTACCACACCTAAAACTGATATATATATATATATATATATGCATAGAGGGAGAGTTATTGATTGGGAACTAATTCAGAAGGAATGCATCTGTTCTCTGGATCTGTTTTTTCCCTAATTATTATTATTTTTTCCTTTAATTCCTAGAGGAACATAGGGCTTCAGCCGCACGTCTCCATTGCATTCGGTTCTCTGCCAACGTTTTCACTCCGCTTCAAGTCTGCCCACACGCTTTCATCTCCTCTTCACATAACCTCCCCCAAGTCACCCTTGCACTGACGACCAACTGGCGCCTTCCTTTTCGGGTACCACTCGAGCAATGGCTTGTCTAGTGATGTCACTTCGTGGTTTGTTTTCTCAGAGTATGGCCAATCCATCTCCACTTCTTCCTGCCTCCTTTTTTTTCCACTATCGGTTCCTGATGGGTTGGCTGGATCCCATAGATCCCTGTTGCTGATCTTTCCTGGCCATCTGATCATGAGGGGTATTGTGCGAAGACAGCTGTTGATGAAGGTCTGTAGTTTGTTTAAGATGCTCTTTATGACGCGGTGGCCAAGTCTCTGATCCGTATTGTAAGTGGCACTGACTTCATATTGGAGTTGAAAATCCGGATCTTGTTTTTCATGTTGAGTGCTGTTGCCCTTCAACACAGTCTTTAGAGTAATGCAAGCTTGTCTTGCCTTCCCGATCCTTTCTTTGATATCCCCGTCAGTTCCGTCTGCCTGTAGTTGAAACGATGCTCCTCAGGTAGGTCGATAGGTAAAGGAGGTTGCTTCTTTCAGATTTGTTGTTGTTGGCCAGGAATCCTCAACACCTGTGTTTTCTCTACGTTCACCTGAAGTCCTATCTACTCTGGATGCTTCTTCAGCCAACTTGTTGCTTTTCACTTGCATATCTTCCAGTGTTTGTGGGAAATCAGACATATATATATATACATTTATATTATCGGCGAAGTCCAGATCCTCCAAGTTTTTTGTGAGGGTCCATTTTATGCCTGTTTGTTCGCTGCCTGGCCCACTCTCTGTCGCATTATCCAATCTACCTTTGTCAATCAGGAAAATCATTGGCAACAGTAGGCAACCAGCTTGTCTTACTCCCGTTTTTCTCCTTAAAACCTCGTTTATTTATTTATTTTTGTTTATACTCTTCTCCTTTCAAATAAAAGGTTTGTCTACGTCTCATTCATCCTGATATTGAATCCATTGAATGGGATACAAAAACAACGCCAACAACAACTACAGCGAATGAAATCAATAACACTTCAGTTAATAACGTTGACAATGATTCAAAATCTTATGAAACGTGTATTTTTCATCCAATACAAGTTCGTAAAGAAGCTCTTGTAACATTGCATCAATTTATTCCAAATTATGCCAGCTTTCTACAGCCAAGTTTATCGCTTATCATGAAAGCGTTGATTTTCTGTATACAGGTTAGTTGCTTTTTGGTTTTTGTTTTTTTGTTGTGCATTAAGTACGGAGGTGAAGTTTCACTACACTTTCCTCTGGAAGTCGAAACTATTCAGATTTCATCACAGTATGTGATCCATAGTCTTCTGAACACCTTGAGCAGCAATCTTCATATGTTTGGCCTGCGATTCGCACCTGTAAAATGTAAGATGCTGCTACAGGACTGAACTACGTCAACTCCTAGCTTAGTGATAGGGAGTGAAGTGATAGAACATGTTGGCCACTTCACCTATTTGGGAAGTTGTATTAGCACCAACGGACTGATTGGCGATGAAATCTCAGCACGGATCCGAAAAGCTCGAGCTGCTTTCGCTGACTTACACCATCTCTGGCGTAGGCGTGACATCCGGTTATCAACCAAGGGACGTGTGTACTGCTCATCAGTTCGCTCCGTCCTTCTCTATGGCTCTGAAACATGGCCAATACGCGTTGAAGACATGAAAAGGTTAACTGCTTTCGATCATAGATGTCTGCGATCCCTGTCTCACGTTAGGTGGTGTAATAAGGTAAGTAATGTTGACGTTAGGCGTAGAGTGTTGGGCAAAGAGGGAAAATCAATCGACGAGGCTAAAGAGTTACATAGATTGAGATGGCTAGGTCACGTGGTGCGCATGCCTAACCACCGCCTCCCCCGACGGGCTTTGCTAGCTGATATAGGTTCAGGTTGGAAAAGAGCAAGTGGTGGCCAAACAAAAACATGGCCTCATCAATCCATGAAATCCTTGACAGTTAAACTGAGTCAGGTAGGTGGGGAGATGCAGACTTCCGGGTTAGGACCCTCATCTTGGGACTCATCTTCTTGTCTACCTTTTTGTGCTATTTGGGACGTGGCAACTTGAACTGGTGCACTTCGGTGCCAAGTTCTACGTTGAATCCAGACAGACAGACAGTATGTGATCTGCTCAGTGACATAAATGTTAATCATGAAGGAAAACAAACTTAAATGCGTAAAACTATGTAGCATTGATTGACTGAGATGAGAGTAGTCGGATACTAATCAACATACTGATCAGCAGTGAACTAAACACCGGGTGGCCGTTTCTGTTGTTTATGACTAACCCCGAAAGTGTTGCACACCTTGAACTACGTAAATTGTGAATCACAGATTTCATCTATGTAATAACACATCAGCCATGTCGCTGCCAGGTAGAAACTAACAAAGAAATTGGGTGGTTTAAACTGGTTTAACTCGCTGGGGTGAGTCAAACAGGGCACACAGCTGATGACCTTGGCCCTGAACACAGCATACCGACTGTCTGGTTGGTCAGCAAGCACTGTTGATTGTTGTGATTCGTATACAACTACTCATATCAACGAATAAGTAGTATATCGTGGAAACTTTCAAATTTTCTAATTGAATTTTGAACGGTCGTTACAGTAGTAGTCTTCGAACTGAGTATTGCAGTTTTCCTAGTCTAAATATTCACTTGGTTGACGATGCAAACCCTTACGAAAGTCAAATGAAAGTCGTTAAGTCGGGAAGGTATACGTGCTTCTTGGCATTCCGTTGTGAAAGGGTATTTTTTTTTATCGAATGGAGTAATTTCATATATCCAATTAATCATTGATTGCTCTCATTGTGCACTGTAGAGCACGTTTATTATCTCATTGTTCACCGTTAGTTTTTTTAATTTGTATCGACACACTTCTATACGAATCTTTAAGTTGATTTGTTAATAAAATCAGTGAGTAGATAGATAGTGGTTCACACCTGTAGTTGTAATTTCCTTCAATCAGTAACTTGATATTTTGACTCGGAAACTTTACAGTTTGACGTATAAAAATTAATCATGAGTTTGTACTGCTGAGGGTCCGGCTAACTGAGTTTCGACGTAGGAATTTGCACAAATGTGTAGCAGTTCAAGTTACAACACTCCACATAGAAGAACACTAACGTAGAAAGAAGGATAACAAATTCAAACCAACTGGAGAAAACAGAGGTGATGAAGATTCCTGGCCAACAAAAACACCAGCAACAGCAACATGCAACAATCAGTATGAGAAATCTGAAAAAAGCGACCTCCTTTACCTACCTATATGGGAAGCATCGTTTCAACTACGGGCGGACAGAAATGATGAAGATATCAAAGCAACGATTGGGAAAGCAAGACAAGCTTTCATTTCTCTCAAGTCTGTGTGGGGGTCAACAGCACTCAGCATCAAAAATAAGATCCGGATTTTCAACTCCAATGTGAAGTCAGTCAGTGCTACTTACTCTACGGATCAGAGACTTGGCCAGCGCGTTATAAAGATCATCTCCAACAAACTACAGACCTTCATCAACAGCTGTCTTCGCGTAATACCCCTCATGATCAGATGGCCAGGAAAGATCAGCAACAGGGATCTCTTGGAGTGAACCAACTCAGCTGGAACCGATCGTGCAACAAATAAGCAGGAGGAAATGGAGATGGATTGGCCATAGTCTGAAGAAACCATCAAGTGACATCACACGCCAGGCTATCGCTGGAGTGGAACCTGAAAGGGAAGCGGCGAGTTGGTCGTCGAACGGTGACTTGGAAGAGGAGATGAAAGAATGTGGGCAGACGTGGAGTCAGGTGGAATCGTTGGCAGAGAGCTAAACCCAATGGAGACGGGCAGCTGAAGCCCTATGTTCCTCTGGGAATTAAAGGAAATAATAATAATAACTAGAGCGAGCAGAAACATACTGGAAAAAGAACAGTGACATGGAACAACATATCAACCTAATAGATACAAGAGATTACAAAGAGTGAATGAATCTGCGTCACTGAGAACAGTTTTGAGTAGTTTTACCACCAACAGTCTCAAGCCATTGGTTCTTAGTATCTCCAAGACCCCAATCAGCTTGGCAGTTTAAACCTCACTACGTCGGTAGCTCAGACCACCTGTGTAAGACTTCGTGGACTGATTCCATGACCTAATCTTCTATCAGCCGACATTGTTTGTCAAAGAAGGAAGTGGCTCGGAATGCATAACACGAGCCCTAGCCATCTCGATTGATGTGGTTTCACAACATCATCGATTGACTATGCCTCCTTGCCTGACACTCAACGTCGCTCACTATGTAACACCAGTTATTATGGGAGATAAAATGAAAACGTCTGCGGTCAAATACAGCTAGACTTTTCGAGTTTTCCGCTTTCAACGGACATGTCTCATAGCCATAAAAAGAAACTTAACGAATGGTTTCTCAGCCACATATGTTTTTTGATTTCCAGGCGGATATCACATCTACGCCCAAGACTGTGGAAGTTGGCGAATGCTAAATGTGCCTTTTGTACCCGCCGTGCCGAGATTTTTTCAGTAACTACTCCATTAGGGATGATGAAACTTCCCAAATAAGCGAAGCTGTAAATACTCTCAAATGACCGGTTATCTTTCTTCAAACTAGGTGTCGCGACACACCAATTTTGCTGCATCTTTTTACATATGAAAGTAGAGAATCTCATCTCAACTACAGCAAGATTTCTGCTCAAGATGTTACGAGGACTCTGCATTTTGTCAGCATCTTGAACCTGGAGGACAAGATCGTAGGAGTACTCTAAGTTGAAAAAAACTTTTCCCTAGTAAGTAGTTATAATCCGTGAGTTGGTAAGGTCGATTATAGGCAATATCCACTAGTGTAGAAGTGGGATAAAAATTTTTTTTTGAAAATGTGGAGGAACAATGGGCACTACTGGTTGGACTGAAAATCATCTTAACTATGACCAATAGCTGCTGGTAGACTACTTGTTCAATCTGTAAGTTATTGAAAACCATTCACTTGTCAATCAAAAACAACTTGTGAAATTTAACCCTTCCCTCCTCCCCCTCTTTTCGTTTTTCTCTTTTTCGATTCAGGAGAAACAAGAAATTAATGTATTACGGACGTATAGTTTAAGATTCCTAACTGATCTGTTGCCATATTTAACTAGTTGTTGTTATGACAATAATATTGATGAGAATCAAAGCGTGTCTAGAGCAACAACGCCGACAGCAACAGCACCAAGCCTCCATGCTAACTCACTGCTCAGTGAACAAATGACTAACATGCATTTAACCAAAGCACATACTATTGAACATCACAGTAATCAGATGTTGAACACTACAGACTGTTCCAAGAATAACAATAATTATACCTGTCATAATAATACTAATAATAATATTACTATTAATTCTAAATTGCACATAGATCAGATACAAGTTATCTCATGGTGGCAAACATTTTTACCATATATACTGAATATTCTTCAAGTAAGTTGATTATGTGTATATATTACTTTTTATTAATGCATAATTAATTCCTTTGATTAAGCAATTTGGATAAAACAAGAAATATCAGAATTCCATTGGAGAAAAAAAAGACATCATTTCACACTTCACAGGTTCTCATCAGCTGAAGACTACGTAAAAGAAAATACATTGCACTGATCAAGCCACTCACTCTACTCGAACACATGCAGCCAGGTCAGGGCTTACGGCGAGTTGTCATCTGAAGTGGTTTCCGACAGTGATGCCCATTATCCCCATTTCTATTCAACTTCATCATAGATGTACTAATGGACTTAGCCCTAACTCACTTCCGAGATTCAGAGATTGACTTGTTACCAACAGTGAATAATCTCGTTGACTTAGAATATGCAGACGATATAGTCCTTCTAGGCGAGGACGCTGACAAAATGCAGCTGCAATCTACGAATGTTTGGCATGCGATTAGCTCCCGCCAAATGTGACATGATGTTACAGGACTGGACTACACTGACTCCTAGTTTAGAAATAGGGAGTGAAGTGGTAGAGCTGGTTGACCGCTTCACTTATTTGGGAAGTTGCATCAGCCCCAATGGGTTGATTTCTGATGAAATCTCAGCTCGGATACAGAGGGTTAGTTTCGCATATTCCAGTTTACGCCGTCTCTGGCGTAGACGTGATATCCAGCTATCAGTCAAAGGGAGTGTGTACTTCTCAGCAGTCCTCTCCGTCCTCCTTTATGGCGGTGAGACCTGGCCATTGAGAGTGGAAGACATGGAAAGACTGGCTAGTTGCCTTTGAGCATAGGTGCCTGTGTTCTATCTCCCGTGTGATGGGGTGGTATAATAAGGTGAGCAATATTGAGGTTAAGCGTCGAGTTCTAGGTAAGGGGGGGGGAATCAATCAACGAGGCTGTGAAGCTACACCGACCAAGATGGTCAGGACATGTGTTAGGTATACCTAGCCACCGCCTTGGTCGACAGGAAATGTTAGCTGACATGGGATCAGGCTAGGAAATAGCCATTGGTGGTCAAACCAAAACATGGGTTCACCAGTTAACGAAATCCCCAACAGTTAGTTTAAGCCAGCTATGTAGGAAGGTGTAGACTTTGTGTCTGGTTGGGGTCTTCGGGACGGTAAACATCAATGAAGACTGGAGACAATTGATGATTTGGCTCCAAATCGTTTTCAATGGCTGTCACAGATGCATCCACACCTTGTGACTTATAATTTCCAATCAAGCTATCTATATTTTTCTTCGTTATTACCATTTTATTTTGTCTCAAATCCCCGGTTACCGTCTGTATTTTGCATTTTTTACTTTCTTCTCTTGCTTTGTGTGTTACATGGAGTGTGGCGACTTGAACTGCCGCACATTGGTGCAAAGTTCTATGTTGAAAACAGACAGACAGTCCTGAAATTACATTGGTTATTGCTCAGACAAAGTAGCATCATAATAACTAAGATGAATCACATTGATTGTGCAATTAGGGGTTAGAAATGTAGAAATAACAAAAATAGACAGGATGTTTGGATAAAAAGTGTAGTGGGATCATAACTAATATGACGAATAATTGTTTATGCAGTTAAAGATTAAATATGTAGAAATAATAAAATGACAAAATAGACATGAAGTTCGGATATGAAAATATGGTAGTGTAGACAGGGATTAAGAAAAACTTAAAAATAACATGAATAAACAGGAAGTTTGGATAAGAAAGTCAATGGGATAGTCACTATTAGAAGAATTACCTGTTTATGATGGCCATGGCAGGGACAAGAGTTGAACGTATTTCTTTTGGATACATGGTGTGAGTTTGAGCTTTTGGATGGCTAGTTCCACGGCTATGCACAGATGTCTTAATTTAAGACATCTATTTATACTACCATATTTCCATATCCGAACTTCCTGTTTATTTTGTTATTTTATTATTTCTACATATTTAATCCCCTGTCTGTTGTTGTTATTTCTACATTTCTAACCCCTAATTGCACATTGGTTATTATCGAAGAATGAAAAAAATAACATACTTCAATGTCGGAATGTGATCGGAGAGGAAATGTTATAAATGAAGGCAGCCACTTTTAAAAATTCACGTCATCATCAATGTATATGCAGCACTTCAAAGTAGAAAACAGGAGGGAATTATATATCGGGAAAATGCTTGCTAAGCAATCTTAGCTTGTAAGATGGTTACATAACCAATTCAAGAAAATTATAGTTCATTAGACTGAGTGTCACTCAGTGAACTTATTTGGAAATGATTATGCGATCATCCACACACACTCACACACACACACCATTTTCTATTCTCTCCAACCCTGCATTTTATAAATTGCTGATGACTTAAACTGAATAATTATAATGCTGACCTTTTATCGACGCTTTAATTTATTAACATTTTCCGCGCTGTCACCCTCCAACATCGCCAGTATGTTCTAGTCATTCCTTTAAATAACCAATTGTATTTTCAGGTAGTCAATCTTTAGATATTGACAGTCTGTGAGATATAGAATGACATCATTTCATATTGCAATTTTGGTATTTCTTGTTTTATTAAAATATTATTTTTCTCGAAAATTAATTTGTATTGTTCAGTTAGGTGTCTTTGTTTAGGATTTACATTGTCATTGATCTTCATATTTCTCTATTTCTGATTACAGCTTGACCCCCACACCGTACTTTCGGTAGAAGTATGGAGTTTTCAGCGTGGATATCGGTAGCCCAAATTTCGCAGGCCGACCATAGATATCAAGTGTGCGTCGGCGAGGGCTCGAACCCCGGACCATGTGCATGGTCAGCGAGAGTCCTAGCCACTGTGCCACCGACGCACAGTTAAGTAAACAAGGTTGTTTTTCCCTTACCTGTATAACAGTGTAACGACAGAAGACAAAGGCCAGGCTGCAGATCATTTATTAAGAAGACCAAGAGATATAGATTTTTATGTATATGATTATCCGTTATTATTAACAGAGAAACAGCGTCATCTGATTGGTTGTAGCCATTTCTTTAAAGGTCAGATAATCTATCTACGAATCGTATCCGCCCACGCAAAGTCTGCTGTGATTGGTTGTTGAGTTCTTGTTTTTTTCTGATGACCACGATTTGCGACCTAAATGGCCGTCCACCAATTTTGGATAGGAGACAGCTTTCTCTCAACACAATGACAGTAAAGTTTTAATCTACTTGTTTGAATATCTGACACCCATCCACACTCACTCAGTGATATCTCTTGTTCGAATCCTTTTCTATATATTGTACACTTACTTAGTTAGTTGCTCAATGGCATTCCAATTTCATAGAGTGGAAAGTTACACTTAGCTGATTATTGTCCACACTTGATATAGTCATATTTGAGCAGTTAAACGACTTCCTTGACTACGAATGTTAAATTATTTAACTATTTGGTTTTCATAGAATGAATGTGTAACTGTAATGGAACGGAGTGACACTTTTGTTTTGTCACCTTCCTTGAATATATCTATGCGGAGAAGTTCAACAATAGTGTCCGAGGTGTGTGAACGCTCCAGTGACCTTGAACTCATGCTAGCCTTTGACTAACGGCAACAGTCATTATCATGGCTGAAATATAAAGGCCATTCAACAAATTAAGAGCAGATTTCACCCAGATCACTTTTTTAAGTACTGCTTGGACAATGTGTTAATAACTTGTTAGGGTTAGGATCAGGGTTATGATTAACATTAGGGTTAGAATCACGATTTGGATAAGGGTTAGGATTAAAGTTAGGGTTAGTGGTATGGTCAGAATGAAGCTTATGGTTATGATAAGGGATAGATTTATAGTTGATGTCATTTATTTTAATTTGTTTTATTATCCACGTTTCCATGGCGAGTAGTCGTCTATTCTCTTGTGTGAAACCATTATGATTCAACCGAGGGATTGTGTGGAAGACTGCGAACAGGATGAGGGAGAGAAACTATTTACAAAAACAACTCACCTACAGTCACCTCGGTGAAAACATGTACAGAAACTAGTCTAACTTAGCAACTGATACTCTTCGTTATAACTAGAACATATTTTTAAGTCATATCAAAGAAAGATAACCTGTTTAATGAGTTTTCAAGCATTTTGTTGTCAATATACATCAATATTTTGAGCAAACATTCCTCACTTTTGTGATTGGTCGGCTGAAGGTCACTCGTGTGTTCGCACTCTTGGGACGAAATTGTTGAACTTTGCTATGTATGTAATACAAGTGAAATAAATACTCTTTCAAAAAACAACTTCCCGCAGTTGACCAGGTCAATCGGGCATTATATATATATATATATATATATATATATATATATATATATATGTTTTAAGTAGTTTATTCGATAAATTATTTTATCTGACTGATAAAAATTACTACCACTCATCATATATTTCTTCATTATTATTACCCGGCCGACAACTGCTATCTTGCCGTGGTGGTCAAGTTTGAATATCGCAGTGACCCAACAAGCTATACTGACTGGGACTTATGTGCCTGCAGGTCCTATCATGTCAGGAAGGTTGTTTGGATGGCGGTTAGGCTTAAAGCAGTTACCATGGGGGTACATGGGCTCCAGTATCCAATCGGATCAAATGGCGTATGGGTCACCGGCAACCATGGGAATGCAGCTCCGCTGCCTAGCGGATTAGACTCCAAGTCAAAGGCTCGGGGGTGGTCCTATAAGAAAACCACCTGCTTCGGTCTGGGCGCCCGGGCAGTATCTCAGCCCTCACACAACAGATGAATAATGTGTGGCGCATCTTTCCTGGTGCCATATTGTACCAAGTTTTTTATCCGTTCAAATAAATAAATAAAATAATCATTATTATTACTATCAATACAAATATTGCTATCACTACCATAGAAAACGAAAGAAATAAGTCCAATATATGATGATATTCTTCATACCTCATAGATCAACAAATAATAAAAAAGGCCATTTTATTTACATATATTGATTAGTACACAATTTTTAGACTATTGTGTCTAATGTTTGTACGAAGTGAAAC